CGTCGCTACATTGATTAGAGGATTGGCTGATAGTTAACTCATTAGCTCTATAAGCAGGGCATCATATCCCTCCCAAATCCTCCGTACCTTTTTCTTCTCGTGTTCCTTCTCCCGTCATGCAGGCTGGGCCAGCTCAACTCTCGACCTAATCTTCTTATCTACTGCCGTTGCTCTCTCGGGATTCGCCGCTACCTCCCTGCTCGAGAGGAACAACTCACGGCTTCTGCCAATCTCCCCAGCCCCAAGCAGTCTGAACTCAGCATGGCCGCTTCCATACAGGACGAAGAGAAGGCCATGAGAGCTTCGCTCTCTGCCTCCTCCGACTCAGGAGAGGCCAACATGTTTTCGAGGTTCACTCACAAGCTACTTGAGAAGCGAGGTATCGAGAGAGTGCCTGAGACGGAACGGCATAGTTCCGTGACCACAGCCGACTATCTCAAAATGGGCGTTCTGTGGTTCTCGACCAGTATCACGGCCAACAACGTCGCCGTCGGTATGTACGGCCCGTTGGGATATTCGCTGAGCTTTGTGGACTCTGCCCTCTGTGCCACCTTTGGCTCTTTCTTGGGGGCTGCTGGGGTGGCATACATGGCGACCTTTGGACCGCTAAGTGGCAATCGGACGATGGTCAGTGATGATGGCCTATAGCACATCGATGAAAACGCTGACAGGTGGCGTTCCAGGTCGTGGCGAGATATTTCATGGGCTATTATCCCAGCAAGATCGCCTGTCTGTTGAACATCATTATTATGCTTGGTTATGGAATGATCGACTGTTTGGTTGGTGGTCAGATCGTGAGTTGGCCCTTCTACTGGCAGCATCCTAGAGCGATTGCTAAAATCATAAAAGTTGGCTGCGGTGGCCGACGGGAAGATGACTGTTGTCGTTGGTATCATCATTGTCGCCATCATCACCTGGCTGGTCGTCGTATTCGGTATGAAGCCATTCCACGCCTATGAAAGGTAAGCCCATCCATCTTATGTTCCCCATTCCCCCAAAGTCCCGGGAGTATACTGACCATCCCAGATGGGCCTGGGCGCCACAACTCGTCGCCATGTTCGTGCTCGTCGGCTGCGCCGGCCCCAAGTTCGACACCTCCATCGTGTCCAGCGGGAACACAGCGACCCTGAGCGCGGACCGCCTGACCTTCTTCTCACTGTGCCTCTCGAGCTCCGTCGCGTGGGCTCCCGCGGGCGCCGACTTCTTCGTCTACTTCCCACCGACCACCTCCAAATGGAAGACCTTCGTGTCCGTTCTCTTCGGCCTGGGCCTGTCCCTAACCTTCGCGAACCTGATGGGCGTGGGCCTAGCCTCGGGCACCCTGACGAACCCGGCGTGGGCCGACGCCTACGACACGTCCTCGGGGGCACTGATCCTGGCCGGCTACGACGGGCTCGGCGGGTTCGGCAAGTTCCTGGGGGTGATCATCGCGCTGGGCCTGATCTCCAACAACATCCCCGGCACGTACTCGGCCACGCTGGGCTTCCAGATCATGGGGCGGCACCTGGCGCGGCTGCCGCGCTGGACCCTCGCCTGCGTCAGCACGATCATCTACACCGCGTGCGCCCTCGGCGGCCGCAACCACCTCTACGACATCTTCGAGAACTTCCTCGCCCTCATGGGCTACTGGGTCACCATCTATTTGACAATTGCGCTCGAGGAGCATTTGATCTTCCGCCGGACCCGCGGCTTCGACTGGGACGCCTGGGCCGACCGCGCCAAGCTGCCCCTCGGCCTCGCGGCGCTGGCCGCCTTCCTCATCGGCTGGGCCGGCGCCATCGTCTGCATGGACCAGATCTGGTATGTCGGCCCCATCGCCAAGATGGTGGGCGCCGACGGCGCCGATCTGGGCATCTGGGTCGGTTGCTCGTGGGCCATGCTCGTCTACCCGCCGCTGCGGTACTTGGAACTGAAGAAGTTTGACCGGTGAGGCGGTCGAATTGAGGCAGAAGTCAAAAGAGTTTGTGATCTGGTTTTTGTGTTATGTGCCGGTTGTTGATTGGAAGTGAAGAAACGGAAGGGAAGGTCCCCTTTTGGACCTTCTGGGCTATGTCAAGCCAAGGCGTGGGGGGAGCATTTGACCTCCCGGTTACATGATGACCCAGGCAGGGCTGGGTCCCTGACATCTACGGCTGTGCATGTGTTATGGAGTTATGTATCGCAACATGTTATTAAGATGCCTAAGTAATGTTTGAAAGAAGGATAATTTCAACGATAGATGAGCTGCACCCGCTGTTGAATCTGAATATGTGCTTGGTTCATTAATAAAGTACACATTACCAACACCATAAGAGATTCAAGTGATATCGTGACCGGGGGGCATAGATAGACCGCCAGATAAAAGTCGCCCGATCAAGCCTTATGTTCAAATCAGATCTCGCAAACCACAAGGTCAATTGATCCGCTGCCTCCGCCACGTCAGAAAGACGACGTAGAACTTCTCCTCCGTCGCCGGATCAAAATCTCCATTGCTCTTCGGCTCACTCTGCTCAGCAGTAGCATCCCCCTCGCCTTTTTGTGACTGACTCGCAGCAGCAGCAGCAGCAGCAGCGGTCTTGAACTCCTGTTCCGCATCAAACGGCACCAGCCTCGGCGGTGGCCTGACCGCAGCAGCATCACCAGCATCACCTCCTTGTCGCCCATTCCCGCCCCTGCCCGCAGCCCCCATGACCACATCTCGCAGGATCTCCTCCCTGGCCCCGATCCACGTATACGCGCGCCGCGACCCTTCCTCCGCGACCAGAAACACCTTCTCCCCGTTTTCCTCCTCGTCAACCACCAACGGAAACCGCCAGTCCCGCGCCATCTGCACAATCGCATCCAACTGGTCCCTCTTCCGCATCACCGTCTCAAACTCAATCACCAACTCCTCCAAACTGGGCAACAGCTTGAACTGATTCCCCCAGACCCTGCCCTCCTCCCAGGCCGTCAACGGCCGCCGCCGCTGCTGCTGCTGCTGCTGCTGCCCACGAACACCCATCTCCATCTCCTCCGCCTTCGTCCTCCCCGGCCGAAACGGATCGATCCCCAACGGCTCATTATGCTCCCAGAACCACCAATCCGTATGCCTGAGCGTGATGGTCAAGCGCTTCGGGGCCAGGACTCCGACATCCGAGGTCTCGTCGGGTTCCAGCCCCAATGACGGTAATGCTGGACCGGCGCGTCGTTTGCTCCCCCGGCCTTCCACCCCGTTCTCCTGATTGCGATCGCCAGGGCGGCTGTCATCCCCGCCGCTCTCGCCAGAGTTTGCGTTTGCCTCCTCCAGCTTCCGCTTCCCCTTGCGCATCTGCGCCTGCCAGGCCTCGTTCTCCCGGACGGACGCCCAGACCTGCGCCCACGAGTCCTCGAGGAAGTACTGCTGGGTGAAGAAGTGGAGCTCCTGCACGGCGCCGCGCTGCTTGGGCGTCATGCGCGCGAAGTAGTCGGCCGGGGAGGCGGCGTGGCGGACGTGCGGCGGCGGGCGGTGGCACCAGAAGGTGTGCCGGTTGATGGCCGGCGGGAGGAGCGAGGCCTCGCCGTAGATCTGCTGGCAGGTTTGCAGGAGGGCGGTCGAGATGCGTTTCGGGGCCTTGAAGCCGGGGCGGTAGTAGAGGGCTTGCTGGGCGTAGGTGGTTGATGCAGTTTCTGAAGTGGAGGAGGACGAGGAGGAGGACGAGGAGGAGGACGACTCGAGGGTGTAGTAGTAGATCTTGTTGCGGATCTCGGCGGGGATGTGCGCGAATAGTGGGCAGGCAGTTTGCTGGATGGCGGGGAGGGAGGGACTCAGGTCCTGCGGGATCTGGTAGGAGGAGGGCGAGAGGCGGCGCGGGGGCATGGGGCCGCAGCGGGGGTTGCCGCGACGGCGGCGCGGGCGTCGTTGCGCGGGGGGCAGGCTGTTCATTTTTCTGTTGTGTTCTGTTCTGGGGGATATGTGTAGCTAGTGAGTCGGCTGCTGTGAGATTGAGAATAATGGGAAGGTAAGAAGTGCTGGGAGAGGAAGGATGTTGGATGTTGGATGTTGGGTGCTTCCAGACGGGGTCTAAATAACCCCGCAAATCTACAAGGATGGTTGCTTAGTTCCAGGTTGCCGTCAGACTAAGTGTTTCTGCCTGGTTGATGGGGCACAGAAGGCTTGTGGCAGATGAGTCATATTACTCAGACTTTAACTAAGTATCTTACTCTTCTCATTGGTAGGAGCAGACTGAAAGAAGCTAGATGAGGATAATACCGAATGCTTGTACTTAGTAGATGTCTGTCTCATTCTGGGATGCATCGGACAGCACGTCTATTGTAAATCCTTACCCTGAGCAGACATGACGGCACGGCGAGGGGAGGCGATAAGATAACGATTGAACAACCGTTCTTTCGCATGACTTCTTGACTGGTAGGACCAATTGATATTGAAAGGCTACAATGCACATAATGCGATTGAGGAGGCCGCTATCGGCCTAGAGTCTGTTAAATGAATTTATCGCAGGTTGACAAACATTGGACCATTTCCAAAATCATTGCTACATAAGGCTCCTAGCTGACTTGACCACAAAGCATGCTAGAAATGAGTTGAGTTCAATCGACCTCGAAAATTCGGGAGCACAAGAGTAGCTGTCTGCTTGAAGTAGAAGGGGAAAAGGGGCCCGGCAATATAGCGAAGGTCCAATGCTTTGCAGTGTGTAACTTACTAGGTTTGGCGGTGGAGTGCGGTGTCTTTCAGGGTATCTCAGGTATCTCAGTTATTTCTCCAAGTATTATAGTATATCCACCTCTTCCCTGTATTGTTAGCAAGGCAATTTCAACTCGTGCCTCTAGAGAATGCCGTCTACTCGTACTCCTAGCAAAGAAACAATTGCATTTATCCTGCAGTGGTTTATTTTACTCTGGCATCGGCCTCGGTGGAAAATGATGGCGTCATCGGTCCGAGTGGAGCGTCCGCTCCACGGCACAGACGGACCGACCACCAACTACCGACTACGTAACACGCCTATTTAATGTATCATTGGTGCCTGTCGATGCAGCTGGAACCTAGGTTCTGACACCCTCTTGGCAGATAAGCCATTGCTTGAATCATCAAGCCTTGCCTATTTGCCGGTGGGACGCTGTGACCTTGTCGACACGCACACCATGTTCTTCCTCACCTACCTCTACTACAAGCTCCTCGCCGTCTTCTTCAGGCGATACTTTGCCCGCAAACTCCCCAACGCCAGCCCCGATGAAGTCCTGCAAATACAGTCGCGCGACGCCGGGCGAACGATCAAAGTCCACCTGTATCGCAACACATCGTCTTCCACCTCCAAACCCGCACCGGTGCTGGTGAACTTCCATGGCAGCGGCTTCATCTTCCCGCGCCACGGCGCGGACGACCCCTTCTGTCGGCAGATGAGTCGAGAGACCGACCGGACCGTTCTCGATGTCCAGTACCGCCTCGCGCCCGAGCACCCCTTCCCCGCGGCGCTGAATGACGCGGAGGATGTGGTGCGGTGGGTGCTCAGCCAACCGGACAGATTCGACCTCAGCCGTGTCTCCCTGTCCGGGTTCAGCGCCGGCGGGAACTTCGCGCTGGCGGCGTCGGCGAATCTCTTCCCGCCGGAGACCTTCCACTCCGTGATCGCGGTCTACCCGGTCGTGGACATCCATACGGACCCCAGCCTGAAGGTGCCGCCCGATACGTCCGGGAAAGCAATTCCGCTCTTCATGTCGAGGTTCTTCGACGCATGTTACACGCACGGGGCGTTTGATACCAGGGATCCCCGGATCTCACCGCTCTATGCGAGCCCGGACCGCTTCCCTGATCGCGTGATGATCGTGACGGCGGCGTGTGATAGCCTGGCGGTTGAGGCGGAGACCCTCGCCCAGAGACTCGCCAAGGAGCCCGGCAAAGAGCGCGAGGTGGTGCAAGTGCGTATGCAAGCGTGCGAGCACGGCTTTGATAAGCGGGCGTTGCCGGACTCCGTCCAGTGGGATGCTAGAGAGAAGACATACGCAATGGCTGGGGCGATGCTATCGCGTTAGGGAAAGCAGGGGGAGAGAGAGTAGCTTTCTATCTCGGAGAATCACAGTCCGCATAGCAATTTTTGTTTGAGATAAATTCTGAAAACAAAAAAATGTAATCTCATAATCCAATATTATTAATGGTGTGATAACCCGAAGATCGTACATATGGGGTCATGCAGGTCAGAATGCGGAAACAACTGATGCGGTGAACTCCTGGAATGATGGTTGAGCCAGACTAAGACATCGTGCCATCCCCTCCTGCCTAGAAAAGCACTAAGCGGAGCTCAAGAAGCTCTCTAGAAGCCGTTAACCTGGGACGATCATGACACTATTTGTCTCCCCCTGTTAGAGTCTAGTACTGTCCTGGATAGTGTTCCCCAACGTCCATGACGGTGAGATTAAGAGATCTGGAGCAGTGGAACCTGGATGGTCAGGTGGTGTGCAGACGAGGGGAATCTGAAGCGGCGGTGCCTGACGGTGGACTCCATCGGCCATGGGTTTGAAACCACGGTTCTGGGTAGCGCCGAGAAATCTGCAGCTGGCCCTGAACTTGCCCTGAATTGACCTGCCCTATGCCCTATTCAGTGGCCCAATCCGGGCGGCTGTTACTTCCGACCATGGGCGAGTTACGGGTGTGCCTTCAATCGGCGTTGAACAACAATCCTCATTCAGCCTGGCAGCCCAGGGCACGGGCAGCTGAGTCCCTCTAGCAAAGAGTAAGTTAACTAAGGTTCAGTCAGGTCAGTCAATTCCCGATTTCCCGACTTGCCGTGACAGCATTCTGACGGCTTCTCCTTTCCCCGGAATCACTTCCCTTCCTAGCACTGTCACTGTCACTGTCACTGACTGCATCACTGCAGACGATCGATCATGCTTCAAAGATTAATCATAATTTTCTTTTCTCTTTTTTTCTCCTTTTCTTTGACTTCGGATGCACGCAGGGACGCACGGTCTGATCACAACCAACTTACCCACTACTGAATTGACTGACCTATGGATGGACCGGAGGAATCAGGAATCATTCGGTCAGGCGGGTCGTGGGTCGCAATCCGCAATTATACTCAGTAACAATAATGACTGAATGAATGAATAATATGGAACCCATGAATGACCGAAACAAAAGAACCGACCTACTCAGTGCTAAGTTGGCAAGTTAGTCTACTTAGTCTACCTACCACCTACACAGTACGGATACTTGAGGCCCAAATCAGGTTCCAGTCGCTTGCTTGTCCTGGCTTCCCAGTCCCTGGTGGTGCTTGCTCGCACAGTTGGCCCGCAGCAGCAGGAGTAATCTGCTCTCTCATTAGCCCACTTCTAGGTGATAGTCTGTCTCCTCATTCAATCCACGGTCTTTCTTGTTGTTCTCCTATTCTGCCAGCGGCGTGCTCCTTAGAGTCTCTTCCTCTCTCCCTCTCTCTTTCTGTCTCCCACCCAGTGTCTTGCTTGGTAACCTACTTTGCCCCTCCCCGCAAGTCGGATGCTGCTCTTGGGCGCCTCCATCTCGTCCACCGTGCTTCTAGTACTGTGGACGAGTGTCTTAGCGTCTGGCGACTCGTGTCCCTGAAACTTCCGTCCGTCCCCCTTATTGTCTCTTATCGTTATTGTTTAATTTTTCTATATATCATTTTTCTACCCCTCACCACCACTTCTCTTCCTTCACCTGTTTCCGTGCCTCTCCGCAGCTTCACTTCTCCCACACACACACACACACATACAAGCTCCATGGGTGACTGTGAACAGAGCTCGTCTGCAATCGCATCATGGAGCACCCTAATTACGCAGAGATCGATGAGTCTCACTACCGCCGGGAGGTTCTCCAACTGCCTTCTGAGGAAGCCGAAACGGCGCAGGAGCAAAAACTGATCGATGAGGCCCGCCAGCTGGGTCTGAACGTCCCAGAGGTCGAGCTGGTCGCATCGTTGACCGCGTCCATCGCTTCTGGGATGGTGGATCTCTCCTCGTCCTCACCGATCATCTCGTCCACCAGATCCTCCACCGATCGCAACTCCGCATACGATATCACACCGTCCCACCAGACCACCGCAATCGATCTCCTCGGTTCGTCTCTCTCCGAGTTCACTGTCTCCTCCGAACCCATCCACAATGGTAGTGCTCGCTCGATCGCCTCACTGTCCACCCGACCGACCTCTTATAGCTCATGTGAGGGGAGACTGATCCCGGGGATAGATACGAATTTGGCCGCGGGGGCGCCGCCGAGCAACCGCCATTCGATGATCAGCGTGATCCCGAGCGACAAGAAGGAAAGACGGAAATCGACGCTGAAGTCGGCGATGGAGAAGATCCATTTTCGCAAGAAGCGGTCGCCGTCGGCCGTGTTCCTGCCTCCGGCGGCGCAAATCACTATCGCCAAGGGTAGTAAGGGGATCGAGCAGGTTCGGGTGGAATCCAAGCCGTCGGAGTCGCAGGAAGCCCGATCATCCGGCGACGGGAGCGGAGTGCTGCGGATTGAGATACCCGCGTTCGATCATGAGTCCCTACAGCGGAGTCAGAACGACGAGCAGCTGCGTCTCATGCGGGAGCGTCAAGTGATGGAGCTGAATCGACACAATCTCTTCCAGGACGCGTTCACGATGCGTCTTCGCCAAACTCAGCAGTCCATTGTTGCCGAACGACTTGCGGCGAACAAGGATCTTGAGGCGCAGAAACGCGAAAAGGTACGCCCTCGTACCACCTAACGAAACTCGTCATGCTAACATCTGTGAAGAACATCAACGACGCTGCTCGGATGGAAGAACGTCAGCTGACGATCGAGATGGACCAGATGCGGGAGTTCGAACGGGCCAAGATGAATTCGCGGACCCGCATCAAACACATGGAGGGGTATTTCAATAATTCCAGTCCTCCCCCGTCGCCAGGAGGGGCAGGGTCAGGGCCGGAGACCACCCCCGCCCGCAAGTTCACCGCGCAACATAAGGCCCAGCTAGCGCAGGAGTACCACGACCACAAATCGATGGATCAGTTACACGAGGCCAAGATCAAAGTGCTCCGCGACCGGCAGGAGCTGCGATTGCAGGAGGCCATTGCCCGGATGGAAAGAGAACTTGACGAGCTGATCGACAAACACGCTATAGAGTTTGCGCAAATGCAACAAGCCCATCAACAGGAAGAGATGGCTGTCGTCCGGGCGTTCGATGCAAAGAAGGCCCGGTTGATACACCGATGGAACCTGGAAGAGGCCATTCTGCGGACCAAACTGGGGACGCAACACGGGAAGGTGTACGGACCCTTGCCCCCTTTATCCTTCAGCGACCCGAACTATGAGACGCGCGATTCGGCCATCTGTGTGACCGAGCAGACCGGAGCTGCCAGCGCTTGAGGAGGAGGTGCACCCGGACGAAGAGAAGGGGACAGGTGCTTTGATTATGATGTGATGTCTAGTGATACCCCTTTCCTTTATTTGCCCCGATTCTCGGATCTCCTCATGCATATATGCAGTCCCCCTAATGTGTCATATTCGGCCTTGGATGCCAACCTTATATCTTGTAATTACTATTCCCGCCCTTTTTGACATTTGTTCTTGTTGAGTCGACTTGGTGCCGGCCTCATACATACATACATCATAGCGGATATACCTTGCCCTCACGTGCATAGCGCTGATTTTGGATATCCCTGGCTCCTTTTCAGCCTGATAGATTCATGGGCACTTGTTTGCTTGGTTTGTGACAGAACAATAGATACCAATGCCTGAACGTGTGTAGGTATAGGAAAAGACTCGCTAAGAGGCAGCACATTAGAAAAAAAAAAAAAAAAAGGAAGACGAAGAAGAAGCGATCAGCATCACGCTTCCGATGCCGTCTGCGACGCACCATCCCCAACCGACACAGGAGCAGCAGCAGCAGCAGCAGCAGCAGACCCCCTCAACTCAGACGCGTGTTTCCTCCACCGATCCAGCAACGTCTCCAACCTCCCATTGCCCCCCGTCATGACCGCCTCCATCAACTTATCCCTCCCCGTGTCCCCCATCACGACCGCCCGCTCCACCAACCCCGCATTGGAGATCTTGAACCGCCCGACCCGACCATCCACCCACTCGACGCGCACATAGACCGCCTCCAACGCGGTGGCCCCCAACGCGACGATCCCCAGATCATTCCTCGCGATCTTGGACTCCTGGTTCGGCTCTTCCGCCAGCACATCCCTCTCCCAGACCCCGTTCTCCTCGTCCGCGTCCGCGTCTTGCCCCTCGCCCCGTCTGACGATTCCCAACCGCTCCCGCAGATACCGGACCCCATCACAACGGACATGCCACACGACCAGCTGCCGCCGCACCTCGCGCAGAAAGCCCTTCAGATTCTGCTTCTTCGTGGGGCTGCGCTTCCACGGCTTGAGCTGCTCCCCACCTTCCCCTTCTTCTCCCCGGGCTGCATCCCCCCCAGCTCGCGGCAAATACACCCGCTCCAACGCCCCCACATCCACCACCGGGGGAACCGTGTGCCGATGCACGTACAGCACCCTCCCCCCCCTCCCACCCTTACCCGTCCTCTCCTCCGCGTCGCTTCCCGTAGACCGGTGCAACACCCCCTTCCGCAACAGAATGTAATACGGCTTGACGTACGACCCGTCCCGGGCGCAGATGTCAATCCGCAACCCTATCAGACTCTTGTTGGCCTCGGAGGGGACGGGCGAGGGCGAGGGATCGGTGAAGGGGAAGGCGGTGGTGGAGAAGGCGATGCGGTAGTGGTTGAGGTCGGCGTGGAGGGCGGAGGTGTGGAGGAGCGGGGAGAGGTCGGTCCATTTTTGAGAGGATCTTGGGGCGGTTGCTGTTGTTTGAGATGGGGATTGGGATTGGGATTGGGATTGGGATTGGGATTTGGCGAGGCGTTGGAGGGGGCGCGAGGTCAGGAGGCTGTTTGTTAGGATGCGGCGGCGGTGGTGGAGGGTTTGGACTGTTTGGCAGGGGCGTTAGTTGGGGGTTTGGGATGGGGGAAGGGAGGGGGGAACGGACGTTCGGCGCGGATGGTGGAGATTTCGGAATCGAGGGATTCGGTTTCTTCTTCTGTGTTTAGAGAGGGGGTGGACATGTTGTGAGGGTTTTCTTGTTGTTGTTGTTGTTGTTGTTGTTGGGGTGCGTTTGAAGATGGGGGTGGTGGTGGTGATGGATGGGTGTATGCAGTGTTTGTTGACAGGAACTGAACTGGAGTGAGATGTCACGTGAAGGTTCGTTATCGGCAGATCCACCGGGTTGGGTCGCGGGCTAAACTTTCGATGGAATATTCAATAAATAACCCAAAGAAGGGTTTAATAAACGTTGATTGTCCTGCGGGAGACGTGGCCCAGATACGTATTTAGACTGTTGTTCGTGGACTACTTCAAAGAAACTAATCTATGATCTTGTTGGCACTCCCACTAGTCATCCCCCTCCCCATAGCTTGTTATCTGCATCTGCATCACTGGAGCCGATCACTCAGCATCAATCAATCAATAATCTTGACGTGAATCCTTCGTCAAACAAAAGTCTCTCCCCTCCCCACCCAATCATCGGCCCGTCCAATCCACTTCAACCCAGCCAAGCCCAAACAAGGGGAATTCCCACTGAGGCCAGCTTGCCTTTGCTCTTTGCCTCCAAGAAATCGGGAACTTGCACCGCACCGCACCCACCGCACGCTTCTCTCTCTTTCCCAGCTCCACTACGTCGAATGGATGCATCATTCCAACGCCGGCGACCCAGTTCCAGTCCCTCCTTTATCTTCCCCTTCCCCTTCTGCTTCTCCTTCCCTTAGTCCTTCCCTTCATGTCCCCCCTGCGGACCCTTCCTCTCCATTTCGTTCGGATCGACCGCGGCTTTCCTCAGAGGTGGAACTTCAACATTTAGCATGCAGCACCGCCAACCGTGGACCTTTTAATAATAAACTAGACCCTCGTTACACAGACCACTCCTCCTCCGATCATCATCCCGGGGATCCCGCTCTTCTCTCCTCCGACCACGACGAGTCAGACACAGACTCGCACGAAACTCACGACGAACCTCTCCTTTCCCAACTCGCCTCCCGCCGTGGCCGTGCCCAGATGAAGCGTAAAGGCCGCACGGTCACCAAACGTCGCTCGAAGCCATCGCTGACCATCTCGACGGGCCAGAACGGCTACGCGAGCGAGAGCATGGATTCCTCCATCGAGATGCGCAAGAGGGAAACCTCCATTGAGTCTTCTGCGGGCCGGGCCAACCGTCTCATGGCGCGTCCCAGCTTCAGCCTCGACCACGATCCCCCCATGACCCCGCAAACCCCCGCCATGACGACCACCTCGTTTGCCAACCTTCCCGCGAGCGACCGGAGAAACTTCATGCTGCTGTGTGTGCTCTACTTCCTCCAGGGGATCCCCATGGGCCTGGCTACGGGGTCGGTGCCCTTCCTGCTGAAGCCCTACCTCTCGTACGGCCAGATCGGCATCTTCTCGCTCGCCTCCTACCCCTACTCGCTCAAATTGCTGTGGAGTCCGATCGTGGATGCCATCTGGAGCCGCCGGTTTGGGCGGCGGAAGAGCTGGATCACACCGGTGCAGGTCATCGCGGGGCTGGCCATGATCTACCTGGGCGGGCGCATCGACGAGATGATGGAGGCGGCGGGCGCCAACGGCGGCGCGGGCGTGTGGAAGTTCACCTACTGGTGGTTCCTGCTGGTGTTCTTCTGCGCCACGCAGGACATCGCCGTGGACGGCTGGGCCATCACGCTCATGTCGCCGCCCAACATCTCCTACGCGTCGACGGCGCAGACGGTCGGCCTGACCGCGGGCCACTTTCTGTCGTACACGGTGTTCCTGGCCTTCAACTCCGAGGACTTTGCCAACCGGTGGTTCCGCAGCGCTCCGGCCTCCGGGGGTCTGCTGTCGCTGGGCTCGTACCTGGTCTTCTGGGGGTGGGCCTACATCGTGGTGACCACGCTGCTGGCCCTGATGAAGAAGGAGGACCGGACGCACGAGCGCGACAGCATCAGCGATGTCTATCGGAGCATGTGGAGCGTGCTGAAGCTCAAGAACATCCACACGATCATCTTGGTGCATCTGATCGCCAAGATCGGCTTCCAGGCCAACGACGGCGTGACCAGCTTGAAGCTGCTGGACAAGGGCTTCGGCCAGGACAACATGGCGCTGGTCGTGCTGATCGACTTTCCTTTCGAGATCGGGCTGGGCTACTATGCGGGCAAGTGGTCGACCGAGTACACGCCGATGCGCCTGTGGTGCTGGGCGTTTATGGGCCGGCTGGCGGCGGCCGTGCTGGCGCAGGTGACGGTGATGATCTTCCCGGCGGGCGACGCCGTGCCGTTCTGGTACCTGTTGACAGTGATCGGCGAGCACATCTTCTCGACGTTCATGAACACGGTCATGTTTGTGGCGGTGTCGGCCTTCCATGCGCGCATCGCCGACCCGAGCATCGGGGGCACCTACATGACAATGTTGGCCACGTAAGTTTTCTTTTTCTTTTGGTGGTGGATCCACGCTAATCTTCGGGCAGGGTGTCGAATCTGGGCGGTACGTTCCCGCGGTACTTTATCCTCAAGCTGGTGGACATGTTCACGGAGGCGACCTGTGTGCCGCCGACGGTGGCGCCGAGCGCCGAGGCTCTCAAGGGCGAGCTGGTCACACAGGCCTTTTCTTGTGCGCTGGAGCCCGACCGCAACCGGTGTGTGCACGGGGGTGGCACCTGCAACGTGATCCACGACGGCTACTACACGACGAATATCCTGTGCGTGGTGATCGGGGTGGTGACGTTCGTGTTCTTCATCAAGCCGGCGGTGCTGAAGTTGCAGGGGTTGCCTCTGCGGGCATGGCGGTTAGGGCCGGGGCGGCAGTAGAGGAGTGTGGTGTGTACTAGGTAGATAGGAGATGAGATATGTATTAATAGAATAAGGGTTGAGTTGTCGGTGACTCCGTCCAGGGTACCTACCAGGGTTGGTGAGGTGAAACAGGCTGTGATTCGCAGTGTCTGGTCGGAGACCTGCATTAGTGGGCCTTTTCTCCGCAGACCTGAAATTGTGGGTTGATGGCCGATTATTTATAAGATGGGACCCTGACGATCACCCGACTTCTCACTTGTGAAAACCTGCATCTTCTGGCGATTTGCGTTTGTGAGGACACTGCATCTGTTATTTCTAGACAATTCACAATTCACGATGCACATCTCATCCACTCTTACCACAGTCCTCAGCCTGCTGTCCTCGACTCTCGCTATCCCCTCGACGACGTATTCCACGATCGATGCCCGGGATGTCCTCCGGCCTAGAAACGTGCGTCTGCCTTACTAGCTTGTCTACACCATGAACCAAACCATGCACACTCAACTACCTATACACAACCCTGCACACTGCATCGTCCACTGTCCCTCCACTTATCCCCAAGGCACCCACCCACCTCAACCCCCCCTAATTTAAAAGACACTCATGCTAATACACGCGTGAGGAAAAGTGGGACCTCCGCCTCTTCAGCCCAGGCTGCGACCCCAACACGACCTCGTTCGACCTCTCGCTCTGGCACCGGCAGGGCGTGGCCGCGACGGACGGTTGCGCCGCGCTGGACGCGGGGCTGAACGCGAGCACCGTGGACACGTTCTCGTGGAAGAGCCCCAGCACGAGCAGCGCGTACGATCTGTGTCTGTATGGGGCGGGGTGCGGGACCGACTCCGGGGGTGATGTCCAGGTGATCCGGAGCGGGTGGGAGGTGTGCGTGAAGTATACGGGGTGGAGGGGGTGGGGGGTTGTCGCGCATGGGGAGGATTGTTAGAAGAGAATCCAGAACAAGCACGCTTCATCTGGGGTGTGCAGTACAGTGCAGTGCAGTATAGTATAGTGTAGTGTAACACAGTATAGTATACACTTCATCGTCAAACCCAAGCTATCAACTCATCAATCCACCTACCAATCCCTCAACCGTCTCACAGCATCCTCCACCAACACCCTCGCAAACCCGCGATGCAACCTGCCCACCCACCGCGGCACCACCTTCTGTGCTGCCCCCTCCGCCTCGACAATCTCATAATCATGCGCCGACCCGAACCGCACATCCACCACCCATTCCCCTGCCTTGCCCTCTCCCTCTCCCTCTCCCTCTCCCTCTCCCTCTCCCCCTCCCCCATCCTCTGATTTACAAAAATACACCTCCGAAACCCCCCACTCATGCCGCCCGCCACTCATCAACCGACACGGATATCCCCATCGCGCGAGCCGCTCAAAGAACTCCCGTGCCTCGTCCGGAATCCGCCAGCTGGCCAGCAATCCCCCGGGGCTTTCGGGGTCGCGTTCGACGATGAACCCGCCATTGATGAGTTTGCGTTTCTGCCAGCCTTGACTTTCGGGATCTTTGGGGGCAGTGTCGGTGTCGATGACAGTGTCGGGGACAGTGTCCGACGGCACCGCCGCAAACCCCGCAGCCGACAACCCCACATCGCCCGGGTGGAATCGCCCCGTGGTGAGGAGGCCGATGAGCTTGGCTTCGGTTTGCAGGATCGGGCTGGTGAGGAAGAGGTGGGCCCATGCTTTTTGGAGCGTGGCTTGCGAGACTCGGGGGGGATTGTTTGGGTTGTTCTCGGTGGTGGTGGTGGTGGTGTTTGGGTCGGTGCCGGTGAGGGCGGCCTCGGCGCGCAGCAAGGCGCGGACCGGGACGCGGGCCTGGTAGATGTCGATTTCGGCGCAGCGTTGGGTGGATGGGTTGGTTGGGGTGGTGAGGGCGGCGGTGCTGCCTTGGGCGGCGGGGATTGGGGGGTATTTGGTTTCCAGGTGGGTGAGGGTGCGGTGGATGGTGTAGGTTAGGAGGGTTGGGGGCGTGAGGAGGTAGAGGAGGCGGAGGCGGAGGCGAGGGGGCATCTTTGATGGAGTTGGGTATGCACTATGGACTATGGACTACCATACAGTCAATGAGCTTGGAAAGAGAGAGGTCGTGTTTTCCGTGAATACTCCCTTGATCTCATATAAGAAAGGCGAACGGAGGCTAATGCGCGCCGAAACACCGTGGGACTTGCGCTTGTGCTTCCTTGTTCGGCGAGTTTGGGCCTATAGTAGCTGTCGCTGTCCTGAAGACCTGCAGGGAACTCGACCAAGTAACTGGAAATTAATACCCAGTAGTATGCCAGATCTTGTCAACTCTCCCTAGACACACAGGGCATAGTCACATACTTGTGTATAATGAAAAGTATATAATACGATCGATCATATCAGATCCGACCCAACCTTAACTACCAGTACGTAACGCCTTAACGCCACTAACCCCGAAGCGACTCCACTGCTCCGTTCAATATATTTTTTCCCCGCTCGAACTTTTTTTCCAATCCCGCAACTCACTCCTCCCCTCACCACTACCCACATACACATACACATACACATACACCTCACCCTCCAAACACCGACAAAATGGAAAACACTCTAGACGACATCTTCGGCTCCTCCCCACCCCACGACGACCCCGACCACAACCACACTCCCGCTCCCGCAACCGAACCCTCCGACCTCCCCTCCCTCCGCCGCCAACACGTCACCGCCGGCTACCGCGACGGCCTCGCCGCCGCCAAATCCACCCAAGTGCAATCCGGCTTCGACGCGGGCTTCCCCGTCGGCGCCCAGCTCGGCATGCGCGTGGGCACGATCCTGGGGATCTTGGAGGGGGCGATCCGCGGGCTGGAGGAGCCGGCGCGGAAGGGGGTCCGCAAGGTTGGAGCTGGTGGCAGTGGCAGTGGCAGTGCTGCTGCTTCCAGGCCGGGCGGCGCTGTCGGCAGGAGGGATACCCCGGCTACGAGTAACGATAAAGGTGTCGCTGCGACGGTGATTGGGTTTGAGGATTTGCCTTTGCAGGCTGGTGAGGGTGGGGGTGCTACGCCTACGGCTACGGCTTCGGCTACGACTACAGCAACAGCAACAGCAACAGCGGAGGAGACGCCGCGCGAGAGGAAACGCGCCGAACTGCTGGGGCTGTATCGTCGGGCGGTCCGGGAGTTGGACATCCGGAAGGTGTTTGGGGGGGTGGTTTCTGCGGAGGATCTTCCGGGTCAGGCCGGGACTGGGAAGCAGACGGAACTGCCCGAGACGAAACTGGCCCGCAAGGCGGAGGAGGTGATTTCGGCGTGGGAGCGGAGGGTCCAGGTGGCGCTGTGGGAGGAGAATATGGATGCGTTGGAGTTGAAGGAGTTGAAGGAGTTGTCGGGTTGATTTCTGGGGGATGGTTAGGTTCGAGATTCTTGTCTGGGGGCTGTGCTGCGCTTTGCTTCCTGCTTGGGGTTAGGTTGTTGGGATGCAGTGGGGAGGCGAGGGGAGGGGAGACGAAGGGGCAGCGACAGGCGCGGATATACCCTACCCTACCCTACCCTACTTCCCTACCTACCGTATTGTACGGACGGGTTACGAGCTGCAGGTCTATTTACCTGCCATGGGCCTTATCCCAGCTTGCCAAAGATTCCGTCTCAAGCGCTGCATCCGCTGCACAACCAAGTCAGTCACTCACTTGCATGAGACATGCAGAACGGCACTGCGCGGCCCTCGAGACATCCCGTCGACGGGAGGAGCCAGACAGGGAGACAAGGGCTGTGCTGTGCTGCACGGTTGGTGGATTGGTGGTGGAGGTGGTGGTGTCTGCCCAGCTGCCCACCGTACTATCATCCCAGATGCTGGGAGATAACCTGGAGGCTCAACCAGTGTCCGCGATTTAAGGGCCATGAATCTGTCTCGCAATGTAGAGCCGCATACGCAGGGACGGGAGTGGACAGCCTAAGTAGGTTGCTACCTGGACATTTAAAGATAGACCAGACTAGCTAGACTAGACTTAGGTAGACATCAGACTACAACTCCATCCGCCCCAGAACTCACTGCTACAAACTACATGTAAAAGGGCCCTTACTTCGTCCATCACACTTCAACACTTAGACCGCTGAGTCCGGTTCGTCAGACTTCACGCCCTCTCGACAAGGGATATCCCTGCGATAAACTCCTACCCCTCAAAAATTACAAGCAGGGATCGTGCTACACCCTCCACCCGGCGTTGGATCCTGAAATTCCCAGATCCGCCATCGTTACACTCGCAGAAAAAAATCATGGACGGAATTACCCCACACATTCCAGACAAGGAAAAATTCAATTCAGGTATGTAAGCCAGCCCCACCGGGCTTGTTTGTTTTGATTTACACGAGTATGGCAATGGAAGGCTTGCATGCTTGACAAGGCAAAATTATGGCCCTCGATAACTGGCTTTTATGGACAGGACACTGGGACACTAGGAAATAGGGGCCAGACTATGGTCAGGCCGGAGTCAAGGAGTGATGGGCGTAGAGACACCATGAGTGAAACGTCGAGTGAATGTGGATGAGAGAACTCGGAAAGATACGAAAAGAAACGTCCAAGGTTCAACTTGGTGGGAAAGACCGGCAGGGTGTGTATATGACAGACCGAAAGCAAAGCTGTAAGTAGCGGAAAGATGGAAGCAGAGGCAAGGACTGAGGGCCACGCTGACCCCTCACGCCTGTTCGTTGCCTCATCAATTGTGATGATGTTCATTGCATCATTAGACGGCTGCGTCATGTTTCCAGACTCAGCGCATGCGTCTCGCTATATCATGGGGTGACATGGAGAAGCATCCAGTCATAAACCGCCCAGACTGTTCATCTGAGGCTCATCAGGTAGCATCATAAGACATTAAGTTGGATCAAGATAAAGGGAACGTTCAAAGTCGTCGCGACCACTGGTCGTGAATGCGTTTTCGAGAAGATGGTTCAGCGCCAATCGAAACTTGTCCGCGCACAGAATCAAGAACACCAGAAAAGATCACATGGGTCGGCGGGGTCGCGGGGGAGGAAGATCGCCATGACAGCCCAGGACTCGCAACGACTCCCACACTCGTTTATAGAGCGGGGGCCGGGCGAGGGTGAGACTTTGGTGAATCGCGCGGTCAGATCGGTCCTCTCGGCAGAGAGTACACAGCTTTTCAGCCTCAGTCAGAACCTTGGGTGATGAGTCCGATCGTTGCCGCCGTCGCGACTTGGCTTGCATGGCAGCGGCCGTCGTGCGGTCCATGTCGATGTTCACGGCCCCGTTGCTATTGCGTCGCGATCGCGGTTGAACGAGCGACGTCGTGGATGGAGCGACCAGTCTCAGGGTCTGCTGCGCGGTGGGCCGCAGGATGTCTTTGGACCGAGACCGAATGAGGTCTCGCATAGGCGACGGACATAGCAGCTCCGGAGGTGGATCGGGCGTGGAAGGGAATCTTTCCAATCCCTGTGCGTGTTGACTTTGACCCTGTGTATTGTTGAGCTTTGGGGCCGACTTGGCGACGCGAAGATGTACTCGGCTTCGGACCTTCTTCAAAGTGTCCATGGGCTTGCGGGACAAGGACCTTGGATCAACCGACTCGCTATCCGAGTCGGACTCCCAGACCGACTGCTCGTGCTGGCAGATCATCCCCGCCGGTGAGGTTGCTGGCCGCTTAGCCATCGGGTGGCGCTCAACAGATGGTGACGCTGGACCCGGACTCGGCACCGGGCTCGGACGGTCATTTCCAGAAATGAACATAGCCTGGTCGAAGTGCGATACGTGAGGCTCTTTCGTCACTGGGTTGTACCAGCATGGTGGAGATATCATGGACGGGGCGATTGGAGGACGAAGAGCTGGCGGTGGCCCTTTCTTACCGGGCTTGCTGTTTCGATTGCGGATGCCGTTGGGCAGTGACGGCAATGGCTTCCCACGGGTTGATGCGGGATCGTGACTACTTACTCTTTGCATGACCAGAGTGTCTGTGGATGCGTTGGATGGCCCGGCGAGCGTCTTCAACGATCGCGTCGGTGTTGAAGGCTCCGTTGTCAGTGTTGTCTGAGATAGGTTGGCTGGTGTAGATGAAGCCGGATATACTTGGCGCCTAGGACTGGGGGGTGCTTGTTGGTTGAGCAAAGACTGATATTCTGACCCCGAAGTGATGGTTTCCCGGTTTGTGAGGGCGGAATAGTTGGAAGAGAATGAACTGCTGGGTGTCAAATCCGGCGTCGCGTCGGTTCGCACGGAGCTAAAAGACGATTGATCGTAGCTTGGAAACTTTCCTCCCCAAGGCTGGTTGGCAGTGATTTCACGGAGGCTCAATTGATGCTCTAACTCAACCACTGACAGAGTGGACCGGTTGACGTTGGATCGGAACCTCGTGGTATCTCCACGCGACGAGATTGCGAAAGGGCCGCCTTTGTTGTTGTGTAAAGACCCAAGCATCAAGTACTGACTGGCTTCGTCACTATGTCTGGCATCGCGACTGTGCGGCCGCCCAGGGCCCCAGGGACCACCTTCTGCCAGAGTGTGCTCCAGATAAAAGGGATCTGGGTTTGACTCGTCAACGATCCCCGGGCCTCGGACAGGGTAGAATGATGAAGCCCGCTTCTTGGCCGGGATGGCTTCGGGGTAAAGTGTGGTTTGCGATATCTTGCGGCTATTGTAAGAGGCGTTCACTTCGCCGGGCATGCGAGCGTATCCGTTAGCCATGGAATATGGTTCTGTGGTAAAGCGAGAGATTGGTCGTGGTCATTCAGGCATGCAAGCAGCTCATCAGAGGCATAAGACAGAGACGTGGTTGATTCGTAGTACAATTGAAAGGAGAGACATCAACTAAACGAAGGAATATATTGAGACAGTGGAATCAAGAATGGCGAGGACCAAGGGGAGAATATGTTTATACATATCTCGCCAAAAATAACAACGTCGCCTTGGCCCACCTAGGGCATATCCAACCATTGCAACGGTGGCTAGGCCGGGGGGGAGCTCCGACGCATGCCAATGCTCAAAGGTGTAAACAAAAGCTCTAACGTCCGTGGGGACAGACTCCAATGACCTATCAGACCTTACATCTTCCTGTCCTTCGGTAGGGATGAAGATGTGCAGCAAGGCAGGTCGCCCCTCGACGCAGGAGCAAGGGAGGCTCGGAATCTCGATCCGCAACTTAGTTGACGCGGGGTCTCATTATGAACTCCAGGATTAACTTACTCGAGTATGATTCTTTTTGGGTCATTCCCGTTAAGCTTCCTTGTTGTGCACGTACCCCCGAAAGAGGAAGGATATCAACGCCTTTCGCGGTTGGTCATCCTATCCCTGAGGGCCCTGAGGGCGCCAACCACCAGGCCGATTTCTTGCACTGCGCATTTCGATGCGATGATATTGATCAAATGGATTGCGAAGAACTGTCAAAGACTCTTTTTGGGTTGTGTGCAAACGAGGTCAGGGCCAGTCCACGAGTAGCTACAAGGTTTGTGGATTCCAGGTCTATGGTCGACGAGAACACACAGAAATTGCAGACCTCTACCCACAGGATGATCGAGGCACCGAGGATCTAGAAGTTTTCCCTGTGCAAAGGTTGAGGGGCAGGTAGAGGATGGGCAAATGTGAGAGATCAGGCTCATCCGAGACGCTGGGACACAGGCCACTCGCTAACTTAGTTCCGCAGTGATACGTCGATCCCGCCGTTGATCCTTTTTGCTCCTTGATCGTGAAGACAGTCGTCCCTTTCCAACATCCCTCAAAATCCCTTGTCAAGCCAGGTCTACTGCTTCATTCAGTTTTTCGATAGCCCGATTGCAGTGGATCGGATCAAGCTTTGAAATCTGGGTCTTTCGTCATAAAATCTCCGTGGTTTGCCAAACCCCGTCGAAGCTCTGGCTACCCATAGTTCGGAGAAAATTGTAGACCAGGGTCCGCCGCATTCCAGATTATCATACCGGGTTGCCATGATACCGGGGGCTTGCATTAGGGTCCCAGGAGCTGAAGTCAGACCTGCTTCGAAATCTGTCTGCCTGCCTTCCAACGCCATCCCTATTGTGGTCTGGTTATAAGACGAAACTGATCCTTCTTTCTCTTAATCTCCGACAGGCTGGTCCGCTGGCCTGGGAGCTTCTCTTGTGAGTCCTTGCTGGTCACCCACCGTCCAGAACAAAGGCTGGGCAGGATGTTATCCCTGTTCGAGCGCTGTTCTGTCGCGAATCTTCACTCGCTTGCAGACAGTTGCAAGAGGTAGAAACCGATTTTCCAATGACAAATTCTGCACTTGTCCTAGATGCACTTCGTAAATGTTAGACTTTAATCGCTGCCACTGTGCCTTGATTTAAGCGCAATGGAGCCCGTTTAGTGGCAACAACCCCACAAGTGCATATTCTGGTGCTTTCTCGAAAATATATATCGACGCCCGCGGTACCCTTTCACCACTGCTGGCATCCATCTCAGAGGATCGCAGGTTTGTCCCGATTTATCTTTACAAACATAGCAGCGGGTTCATTTTCGTTGCGCCTGTTCCTTTCAGAGCAGTCTTGATGTTAGGTTGCCCCAGATATATTAAGGACATCCGAACAGAGAAAACAAAAGGTTTGAGAGACGAGTATCGCGATCTTGCCTACTGGTCAAGTCTCGGTCCGTCGGATACGAAACGCATTGTAAGGCCCGCATTCCGGACCTGCATATCAGGCTATGGTCTTATTTCACCTCATGCATGCTTCGATGCAAAACTACTTTTGAGGGGACCTGCGTGAGACATGAAGCGCGGCCATAGTCGGCATACAGAGTACGGTTAGCATAAGATCGCCGTCTCGAATGTCACTGGACTCATGGACCGATGCATAGAGATTATTGGTGTGGATTGCTGTCCCGAGGCATTTTGCATGTAGTTCTGACAATTTCTTCACGGGGCCTTTCTGCACGACGTTTCGGGTACCACAGCTGTCACCTCCTGCCGACGTCCAAATTCGTACTTCGGTGATAAGACCTCAGTGAAGAGTTATCAGACTAATTTGTGGTCGTAGTCTTGTGAGCTGCACTTAGTTGACGGCCTTGACACAAGCGGCGCTCCGAATCCCCACCTTTCTTTGGACCATAATTACTTTTCTCGCTCCCACCAGATTGGGTGGCAAATTGAACAGGAGACGATGTGAGCAAAGCAGTTTTGTGTGTGAGACCGGCTGCAAGGCAGTTCGATAGGTCTGAAACCGGGACGGATGGAAAAGCTTTCCTCAAAGTCAATTGGGAGCCGAGCCGAAAGGCCCTTGCATCTTACTCGTCTGTCCCAAAAGGCTTAGAGATGGTTGTAAGCTGACCAGGTAGCTGGTTCCCTTCAACTTCCGAACGTCCACTAAGAACCGAATGAGACCCAAACGGTAAGAACAAACACAGAGTCCGACTCTGTGACTGAACCTTCCCAGGTCGACGAACTAAATGGACCAGGGGTGTCACCTGCTGAGTCTTATTGGTAGCACCCAAATCCGAGGGTGATAAGGTAGTGATGGATCTCCAAAGGTCCAGATCAAATTTCTCCGGATCGATCAACGGCCTCTCGTGCGACCATAAAAGAGGACTAGTCAATAGTCTAAGGTACCGCCATCAGCAAGTCCAGGTCTGTGCTCCGCTGATGGAGCCGATGTGGAGTCGCTGAGCAAGAGCCCGAAAGTCAGAAACTGCTGGACTGTCGACAAATCGCTTTCGCTCGCATGAAGTTGTCATAATTGGCGATTGATTAACACTTCATGATGAGGCTGTTTCCAGCCGACATGAACATCAACTTCATCTAGACAATCATGACTTGACAGAATGGGCAGAGAAGGAGTTGACAGGCGGCGACCTAATGATGACGGGTCGGGACTGAATCCCCATCCAGGAATCGCCAGCACATCCGCCTCGGATTGGGCCATTGCAAGGACAGAGCTTGGCTAGCGCGGGTTTCTATATATACTTAATTGCCGGACGGCTTGTCGCGATGATGCAATGGCTCTTCATCGATGTAGAAAGAGATACTGGATCCATGACGAGGGATGTTTGTTTGGTTCATGTGCAGGAGGAAAGATCTGACAGAGATTGTCGAGATCCAACACTGATCTAGAGGCGATCAATCCGCGATCAGCAGAAGATACGGGACTCGAAACCAAGTACGCTCAGGCAAACTCATGAAATCAGTCACCTTGGGTAGTCAAATTGTTGGTTGTCCGACGAGTCGCAGTCGGCCTTAATTGAGCTGTGTGCAACCTGTAAAGGCGGGGGGGTTGGGGATGTTGGAAGGCAAGGAAGACAAGTTTGGATGTGTGTGTGTCAGCGTGTGGGATTTTGATCTGGTCCTTGCGCTGTGCAGAAGAAAACCAACGTCATCTTGTCTTGTCCATTCTCGATCCCGTATAACAGCAGTCAAGAGGTGACAAGGGTAGTCAGAGTTGGTGAGTCCATAACCATCGGTTTGCGATCGGGTAGATTTACTCGACATTATTTGGTACGTTCCCAAGTTACCTATTCTTTGGTACAATCCTTGGTACAGTCTTTGGTACCGGCTAAACCCCCCGTTTCACCTTCCCTTCTTTCCCAAGCAAAGCTCTTGCCCGATTCTTCCAATTCTTCCAATTCTTCCACTTCAATTTTCATCTCTCTTTCCTTTCCACTTTGTTGTTGTCTTCAGTCTTCACACTCCCTGGATCCAGACCGCTTCATAGCTTGGGCTCCCCTTCTTCCCCTTTTGTAAGGAGGCAATTGGGCTGTCTCGCTCTACTCCATGCCGGCCACGGGCCTCTGAAGTAGTGCTCGTTGCGGTCTGGCAGGGCGCTTTCTCAGGAACAGGTGAGCGCAACTGCAGCTTCCGAATCCCCCCAGCCATCGCATTTTCCACCACGACCCCTTCGACCCTTCTTATTCGACCAGCCTCTGCCAATTTTAGTCGCGTGGCTCGCTCTGAAATGTTCTCCTCTTTCTCTTTGCTGTTCTCCCCCGTGTTTCAATCCCCCGAGATACCCACATTCCACTTGTCTCCTACGTACTGACCTACCATTGCGTGTTCAGTGGCCGGTGTATCGTGCGTGTGCTGGACAAGAAGCGGAGTCGTGCCAAAAGTTGTGCAGCTCCCCTGACACGTTACCAAGCCCACCCTACGATCGCAAGCCTTCTGTTCCTGGAGCCCCCATTGGAAAGGGAATTGATATTTACGTCCCAGCACTCACGTTGTCGTCGCATCCGCATCCGCCTCGCTCACATACCACTGCGGCAGTGTCTTATCCTTATCGCGGCACGTTTGACGAGACCTACGAAGTACACGATCCACATACGTTGACGACTCTTTCACCGCAACGCCAGCAGCAGGCTGCTCCCCGACCCTTACCTGAACCTACCTTTGACCCAGAACTACGATCCTCGAGTGCTTTTGGAAGTACTCGATCGTTGCGGAGAACGTCTCGTCACTTTCAGCGCCCGCCATCGGTCGATGTGTCCGGACGTCCTTTTGAAGTAGAGCAAACAATTCCTGTCTTGGTGCAGTCAATCTCGGACCACGGCAACGGTGTTGCTGCTCTACGTCCTGCCCTTTCGGAAGCGCATACGGATCACGACGAGGAGGCTGACTCGGCACCGGAAGATCATCTTGAACGGGAGGATACCTCGTACTGGCCCCGTAGGTCTACTCGAGTTTCCCCGCGCACAGCATCTGCGATTCTCTGGACTCTGGAAGAAGCGATTCGCAAACCATTCCCCTTCACAACAGACTGGGAAGAAGTGAATGCGCCCATGTCTGACGCAGCAGGTACAACCGGCTTCAGCGCCAATGGCCGCACCCAGAATGGATCGTCTCGAGCCGCCCAGGGCCCGGTCCCTGTCAATCCACACCCGCCAAGTGGTGTGCGGACTCCTACGGACATCATGAGACAGCGCCGGGACCGCGAAGCTCGCAAGAAGGCAGAACAGGAAGCTAGGGATCGGGAGCAGGAGCAAAGCAAGGCTCAAGGGCAAGCGCAGCCTTATGCTGCTGGCGTTGCGAGTGACAGAGGCTCACAACGGCGAGCGACGCACAGGGCGCCCACAGGGCCGGAGGCGCAAGACTTACGCACCACCACCATTCCAGAACGGTCGACTAGCAACGTTCGACGACCAGATCCTTTGTCTCCTACACAGGCAGCAGGCACCGGTGCTGGACATGGTCATGCAAGGCCGACGACATCGGCAGGACAATTCAATCCAGCTCAGCAGTCTCAAATCCCGCCTCAGAGCTCTGCAGGGGTTTCCAAACCCCAAGGCCAAGCCCCAGTGTCTAACCAACCGAGCACAGGATCTCAGCCCCAACAGCAATCTCGCCGAGTGCCTTTCCCGCATGCCTTCGAGCGTTGGGAAACTCTGTCTTCTCACTGGGAAGGGTTGACAGGTTACTGGATCCGCAAGCTGGAACAGAACAATGAGGCACTCGAGCGGGATCCTCTTAACCAGCAGATGGCTCGTCAAGTCACTGATCTTTCTGCTGCTGGTGCAAATCTGTTTCACGCCGTCGTGGAGCTGCAGCGGTTGCGCGCATCATCCGAGCGGAAATTTCAGCGCTGGTTCTTCGACACCCGCACGGAACAAGAAAGGGCGAAGGAGTTGCAAGCAGAGCTTGAGCGACAGATACGAACTGAACGGCAAGCTCGCGCGGACGCTCTTGCCTCCTTGCAGAAGGCTGAAAGCGACAAGTCGCGCGCGGAAGAATTGCTCAAAGAAATGCGTCGGGAGTTGCAAATCTCGAAAGAAGAGGCTCGCCGCGCCTGGGAAGAACTTGGTCGGCGCGAGCAGGAGGAGCGCGAGAGGACCAATTCATTGCGTAACGGCGAGCCCACATTGGTGGGAGGAGTGCAGGTGGTGCCTATGGTCACTGGAGCCCCGCATCGTCAGGCATCAACCGCTCGTCCTCAAGCTCGCGAGAGCCCCTATGCAACCGGCGGAGCTACTAGTGGTGAAGGCGCGCCAAAGAGCACGGTGGACATCGAAGGTCAATACTATGGCGAGACTGCTGCATCGCCCACCGGCACGGATCCTTTTGTCGAAGGGCCGCCACCGGCTTCCTCGTCTGCAGAAACTCAGAGGCAGTATCCTGCGCACTATTACGACCAAGAGCCCGGCTACCCTGCTCGACCAACGTCAGAAAATGACGATCGCTCGTATGGTCCTAGTGTAGCCAGCAGTGAACCAGGCGAAGACGAATTTGGGGCCAGCTATCGCCGCAATCCACAAGGGCCGATTGTTTATCCTCCGACAATGTCCGAAGGGAGCGACGATTATGAGCACGGCTCACTCGACGAATCAGGATATCCTCCCAGCTCGTTGCCTGCATCGTCGGGGTCTATCTATGGAGGCTACAACCAAACTGTCGACTACAGTGGCTCGGGCTGGGGCGTCGGCTCTGGGTGGGAATCAATGACTCCCCGACATCGCCATCCTACTCGCCTAAGCGATGTCATTGAAGAAGAAGAGCCACGTACCACGCCTAGCCGTGCCAGTATGGCTAGCCGCAGTGTACAGTGAGATGGAAAGCTTTACCGTACATACCGCCTGAGGGCCAACTTCGACCCAAAGCTCGTCTTGCGTTTCTTGTTTCGTCTCCTTCCAGTCATGCATTTCCTTCTTGTTTCTCGTACGACAATACCTCCTTGCTTCGCTTTCGCATGTCTCCTTCGATCACATTCCATGTGCCATATTCGACCCGCATACTCCTTTTGATCCAAGAAACTGAGATCCAGTGAGCGTTGCTTGCATGGCACACATCCTCTCCATGGATATCCAGACTTTGCTTGCGAGGAAAGCACGCGGTGTAATTAATGTAATGCTATCAAAGTTCGTGATTCCATGTTTGCAGCGAAACAGGCGCAAAGTGTAACATCGGTCCTGGCCTTTTCAGATCTACTACACGCGCGGTAAATCACATTGTAGTGAATGCCAATACAGGGCTTCAGGAGCCGAGCAAAACTTTGACCTTTGGATTAACCTGTCTGTGAACCGAGGGGGTGAAGGCCACACTCGTGAAGTCGGATTACAGCTTGTGCTGGCGGGTTGTCTCACAGTTGGGTTCAGGCAGCTCGCGATTAGCGGCGATGATCTCGTCCGTGGACAGGGTACGCTCGATTGTGAAGACTACTTCAGGGGGCCCAGGGGTACCGTCATACTGAGCAGTAATCCTCCAGGGAAAGTTGGGAAAATCATCCTCAGAAATCTGGAGGAGAAGATGGCCGTAGTCGCCATTCGGGATGCGGGCTTGGACAATCGAGAACACTTTGAGGATTTCTACCAAATGTAGGCGCCTTTCGATGATATCAGTATCTTTGTCAGAGGCAGCTTCTCTTTGGGGCGATCAGTGGCGTCGGTCTCAACAGGCTCCTTGGTCTTCTTGTCTGTGTCCTTCATATCGCCCATGTTTGCGTAATGAGAGCCCTGCTTGGAAGTGGATGTGTTGGACACGGCGTCAGCCGGACGATCGCGTAGGAGGTGAAAGGGGGCAGGCATGACAGACGACGATGATGGTGGGGAGGGAGTAGAAGAGGATGAGAGTAAACCCAAGACAGCCCGTTGTTGTCAAAGTCCTCGAACATACTCATACCAAGTTGTTCGATATACTTCCTATACTCCGTAGATAGTTTCACGTGATGATCCCAGAGTCACTGTACCACCAACCGCACTAAACCGTAAATGGACTCCATCAAGCCAAACCCCGGCGGCGGGCCAGCCGGACTGGAGCGCATCCAAACCACGGGCAGGCCGGGCACACCTCCGACCCGACCGACCGCCGTCAAGTTCTCCGTCCGAGAAACAAAATCCTCCGCGCAGTCAAGTCAGGCCACTTTCCCTTGCCCTCTCCTCCATCCCCATCAATTGAATAAAAATCGAAATAATGGCTTCCTCAATTCGACCGGCGAGCCGCATTCTCGCGCGTGCCTCGCGCGCTTCCCCGTTCTCGCTCGAGTCCACGACCTTGAATCGGACCCTTGCACGGACGACCGTGAACACCCAAACAGCCGCTGCCTGCACATTGAACAATGGCACCACCACCACCATCGCGCACCGCGCCTTCTCGACCTCGCGGGCCCACCTCAAGAAATCCCCGACGATGGGCCAGCTGAAGGCGCGCAACTCGACGGGCCCGTTCTCGTGGAAGTCGGCGCTGCTGTTCGTGCTGACGGGCGGCGGCATGATCATCTATTTCCGGGTGGAGAAGGAGCGGCTGGAGCGCAAGCGCATCGCGGAGATGAGCAAGGGGGTGGGCAAGCCCAAGGTCGGGGGGCCCTTCACGCTGAAGGATCTGGATGGGAAGGAGTTCACGGCCGAGGATCTGAAGGGGAAGTATAGTTTTGTGAGTTTACCTGAGCCTTCCCTTCCCCCCCTTCGGGCTCAATCACCCAGACGACTAATTGGTGTGGCTGGCTTGCTAGGTCTACTTCGGATTCACCCACTGCCCGGATATCTGCCCGGACGAGCTGGACAAGATGGCCGAGATCATCGACAAGGTCAACGAGGCCACCGGCGGCGAGAAGATCTTCTTGCCCGTGTTTATTACCTGTGACCCCGTCCGCGACACGCCCGAGGTGCTGCGCGAGTATTTGAAGGAGTTCCACCCGGGCATCATCGGGTTGACGGGCACGTACGACCAGGTGCGCAATGTGTGCAAGCAGTATCGCGTGTACTTCAGTACTCCGCGGGATATCAAGCCGGGAGAGGATTATTTGGTGGACCATAGTATTTACTTTTACCTTATGGGTGAGCTTTTTTGTTTCGGAGATTGGTTTGGATTCAGGACCTGGGCTAACATTTTCTCGTGCTTCCCTGCAGACCCGGATAACGACTTTGTGGAGTGTATCGGACGGCAGGACACGCCCGAGTCCGCCACGCGGACTATTATGGAGCACATCAACGACTGGAAGCGCGAGGGCAAGCCCTTGAGGAAGGATTAGATTCGTGGCTGTTTGATTTAGGGGGGCCAATATGTTGTACAATATAATACCCTACTCTGTAAAATGTGAAGAAACTGAAATGTTCGTGTGGCCGGCCTCGCAGCTCAATAACTCGCCATGAATATCTAGAGTTACACATGGACAATCCTCCCGCACCCAGTTCAAGTATATACACCCCTCCAACGCCCTTAAAACTTCCCCCCTCCAAACCCGGCTATGCAAATCCTCCTTCTCCCGGATAAACCCCAAGGGAACTACCCCACCAACGCCCCCTCGCGATCCCTCTCCCGATTCTCGCGCCACTCCCCGCCCCCATCGACAAACACCTCGCGCTTCCAGATCTCGGCCCGCTCCTTGCACCGCTCCAGCACCTCCTCGCCGGCCCGCCACGCCGCGCCGCGGTGGCCCGCACTCACCGCGATGGCGATGCTGCTCTCCCCGATGGGCACGTCGCCCAGCCGGTGTGCGATCGCCACCCCCAGCAGGCGGTGGGCGTGCACCGCCGCCTCGGCGATCTGGGAGAGCGTCTTCAGCGCGAGCGGCGGGTACGCCGTGTAGCTGAGCTGCGCGACGGCGCGCGCCCCGAAGGTGTCCCGCGTGGTGCCGAGGAAGAGGACGTTGGCGCCGGCTTGCGGCGAGGAGACCAGCTGCAGGGCGGCGGTGGCGTCGAGCGGGTCGTAGGTGAGCGTGATGTGTGTGTTTAGGGTGGGGTTGTGCGTTGTGCGGGGGTAGGTGGATGGGTTTAGGTGGGCGGGGAGGGGGTCTGGGTCTTCTTGTTGTTGGGGTTGAGGTTGGGAGGGTTGGGGTTGTTGTTGTTCTTGTGGCGGTTGGCTTTGAGGTTGTGGTTCGGAGGAATGGGGGGCTGGTGTTGACGTGGACATGGTGGGTTTGTTGTGTATGGCGCTGTTTGTGGGTGGTGGTGGTGGTGGTGGTGGTGTATTTGGTTTGTTTGTGGGAGGTTTGTTTGAAGATTCCGGATGGGTGGATAATGAGTGGGTGAGATGATTTTCGTAGGAAGATTGCTCGAGTAGAGTAAGTGTGTGTGACCTCAGTCGAGATCAATGGCAGGTGAACAAGAATAGATAAAGCAAAGAGTCCACATGCGATGACTCCATTCAGATAGCTTATCAATGATCAGCGTCGGCGGGGAGCTGACCGATCGAGCAGGCGGTCGAGACTGCAGTGACGTTGACCATATCTGGATTAGCGGGAAGTTGTCCTCTGATCCACGGTGATTGCTGTTGACATTGAGTTAGCCTCGAGATTTCGAGAGCCCGACGGCGCATGGATCAGGACACCAGATTGACTTCTTTGTGGCTTCTTTGGTTGTCTTTACACTTCGTGGCTAAGAGATATCTTCATAATATTTCCGGAGCTTGCACGGCATTGGTTGTAGCACCTACGGATTTAGTCTGTTGTATGCGAGTTGGCACTTCCAAACATCGTGCCTCTCAAAATATTCAAGCCAGGAAGTTGAGCGTGGAATTTTTGGATGATCAAAATCTTGACTAGTGTGCTACTGCTGAAAGTTATGCAAAAAGTTAGATCTAACTTAGAACTAGATGGACAACTCGTTGCTTTATGAAGTTGTGGAACCCACCGTGTATCAGTAGTGTATACCCTCGTCGCCACACAATCTATCGAGCAACCAGCTTAGCTCGAGGTCAACGGAGGCATATTCTCTACCAAAAAGCTATCTTCGAAGCCCGAAACTCCTTGCTTGACCATTGGGTGCACTTGTCCAATTTCCGTAGAAGAAGGATACTCTACCCAAGTCCCCGAAAGCATTCGCCGACTGCGCGATTTTCGCGTTGATGGGAGGCAGAATTTTATCGCAATGAAGGACAGATAACCCCGGCCCTTTTGCTTTTCTGTGCCTGGAACTGAAACCTCCTATGAGCCCTTTTCTCAGCAATAATAGGCTGAAGATGTATCTCCACTGCAGAAGTGTCATCACTCGACGGACAAGATTACCTCCGTCCTTATCGTCCCTCCTTGGCTCCCGGGTATATCACCAACAATGCTCTCCACCCAAGGGAGGATCGAAACCATGCCACAACAATCCAATTCCAACACCACAGATACCCCCCGCGAGCCCCGCGCCGCGGCCCTCAACATCCTCCATCCTTAGTCGCTCGTTCTGGACCTGCCGCTCCTCATGGAAGCGCGCACGGATCAACACCCTCCGGTGCCTCGTCGGCTGCACCATCGGTGACTTCTCCGCCCTCTGGATGCTGCAAAGCTTTGCCCCGGATCTCGGGATGACCACGATCATGGGACTATCCAGTACGTTTTCTTTCTACCCCGACTGACTCCGATGATCCCAAGCGACTGACCTCAGATACTCCGGAACCAGTGGCCTCCGGCATAACCACCTCCGTCATGCTTGAAACGTATCTCCTCTGGCGGGGCGCAGACCAGCTCTCCCTGCCGATGGCCTGCCGGACGGCCATGGGGATGAGCATGGTCTCCATGCTGGCGATGGAGATCGCCGAGAATGCGGTGGATTATCATCTGACCGGGGGCGTGGTCGATGTCGGGGACCCGCGGTTCTGGCTGGCGGCGGGCGTGTCGGTGGGCGCTGGGTATCTGGCCCCGTTGCCGTACAACTATTGGCGGTTGCGGAAGTACGGGAAGGCTTGCCATTGACCTCGTATCCTTTCTCTGGGGAATTTGAAAGGTGCTGCGAAGAGCTGGTAATAATCCCTGATGCACTCGGGATTACTGGTCTGCAAGCCGGGAAAGTTTTAACCGTCGCAGATGTGCAGCCGCAGTGTAAGATAAGCGCGTGTATTTAGAATCTCGTTGCCTGACAGTACATCCTGTAGCTTGGTCCTAGCCTCCCAGCCCTCTCCTCCTGCCAGAACCAGAACCCCGGCTTATTTACTTCCGTGCCTCAAAATTCCAAGTCGTAGGCCAACGTATCATCGCACAGCTCCTCTCTCAGTTTGTGAACCCTAAACCATCAGGTTAGTCACTGGGCCCATCGTCGATGACAGAAACGGATCAACCGACTCCAGGTGCGCAGGATGCGCGGCATACGCTTGTACATCCTCGGGCTTTTCCAGAATCGCCACGAGTCCCATGTCGAAGCCCTTGGCTCTAGCGGCTGTGGCCGCGAGGGGGCTGCCGGCGTGGAGTTCTCGGAGACCTGGAGAGGGCTTAATTTTGGTTTCATAAACGGGGAGGAAGTGAGTCGCTCGAGCTTACCCGGGATCTGGCCGACCATGCCTTTCGCTATGCTCGACCATTGGTCGATCTGGGCCTTGGTGACGCCGGGCTTGAGGCGGAAGAGAACTGGTTGGAAGTGTTAGTTCCAACAATGTGGGCAGGGGGTGGAATGTATGGACTATGGAGAGATGGCGGGGTTGAGGTACCGATGTGGTAGATGGCCATGTTGTAGGTGATTGTTCTTATTCTAATAGTCTTTGGACCTAGTCAAATTCACGTTAAAGATGAGATTCGGCTCTGTTTATGAAGATGATATCCTTGCTTTTAAAGCAGGTGGTAGTAAGCTGAGGACGGAGTTGAACCGATTGCCGGCGGGATAATTCCGGTTCATAATTGTGCCTGAATGATCTACAGTTCTATAACTACCTGACTCAGTAAGTTACTAGGTAGGCTAACGGGTGTGCAGTGTCTATGATTTAGATTCAATTCGAGATCAATTCCTCAATGCTGCTAATGCTATATTCATTGGGTATGTACTGGAAGCACACCCTTGTACTTATAGTTCACATGCTCGACATACTCGAATCTGCATACCATGGTTGAGGGGTAGATGCTGGATTGATTCTCACAAGTCAATTGGTCACAAGTCGGACCGAGAGGCAGGATGAGTTGCATAGTGGCGGTTGCCAGTTGGCCATTGCATCTCCGGGCCCCTCCAAAACAACCGGGGACGATCTCATCCCATCCCCACCCTCTCATGTCCCCAAAAAAAGTGGGTGCATGTGTAAACCAGATGTCCATCAGAGACTGGAAGTGAGTGGACAATTGATCCACCCAGACCCGGAGCATGAGTGGCATACCACCTGGGAGAAGTGGACAACCAAACCCACCGAGAATTTCTCCGCATGCGAGACACCCCCCGAAGTTGATCTTCGATGGAGCACAGCGCAGAAGCACTGCCCCTCATTGCCAGCTACACCAAAACAAATAAGAAGCATGATCGACCCCTCCTTCTATCCTCAATCCTCACGGTCATCCATCCCTTACCACCCCCCATAATTCACCTTTAGCCCGTGATGCCCAAACCTTCCTCCCAGATTCACCGCGCCTGGTGGAAGGAGAGCTCCGTCTATCAGATCTGGCCCGCCTCCTACAAAGACAGCAACGATGACGGCATCGGCGACATCCCCGGCATCGTCTCGAAGCTGGACTACATCAAGGGCCTGGGCGTCGATATCGTCTGGCTCTGCCCCTCCTACAAGTCGCCCCAGGTCGACATGGGCTACGACATCTCCGATTATTACAGCATCGCCGACGAGTACGGCACGGTCGCGGACGTCGAGAACCTCATCCAGGGCTGCCACGCGCGGGGCATGAAGCTGCTCATGGATCTCGTGGTCAACCACACCAGCGACCAGCACGAGTGGTTCAAGCAGTCGCGCAGTTCCAAGGACAACGAGTACCGGAATTGGTACGTCTGGAAGCCGGCGCGGTATGACGAGCAGGGCAATCGCCAACCGCCCAACAATTGGGTTTCACACTTCCAAGGTGACTTTCGGCTCTGCATTTCACAGACAGGGATACGAGGCTAATATTTCCACCATCACCCCTGTAGGAAGCGCCTGGCAGTGGGACGAGCACACTCAGGAATACTACCTCCACCTGTACGCGACCGAGCAGCCCGACCTCAACTGGGAGCACCCGCCCGTGCGCCAGGCGGTGCACGACATCGTGCGCTTCTGGCTGGACAAGGGCGCCGACGGGTTCCGGATGGACGTCATCAACTTCATCAGCAAGGACCAGCAGTTTCCCGACGCGCCCGTCCAGGACCCGCGGACGCCCTGGCAGTGGGGCGACAAGTACTACGCCAACGGGCCGCGACTGCACGAGTACCTGCAGGGCATCGGCCAGATCCTGAAGGAGTACGACGCCTTCAGCGTGGGCGAGATGCCCTTCGTTCGCGACACCGACGAGGTCCTCCGCGCCGTGCGCTACGACCGCAACGAGATCAACATGATCTTCAACTTCGAGCACGTCGACATCGACCACGGCCCGTACGGCGACAAGTTTCGGCCCGGCAGCTGGAAGCTCACCGACCTCAAGAGCTTCTTCGAGACGTGGCAGAAGTTCATGTACGAGAATGATGGCTGGAATGCCCTGTACTGGGAGAACCACGATCAGCCGCGCTCGATTGACCGGTACACGAACGCGAAGGAGGAGTTCCGCACCGAGGCCGGGAAGATGCTGGCGACGATCCTGGCGCTGCAGTCTGGTACGCCGTTTGTGTACCAGGGCCAGGAGCTGGGGATGAGGAATGTGCCCGTGGAGTGGGATATCAGCGAGTACAAGGACATTGACTGTCTCAACCACTGGCATAGGTAAGATGTTCTGCCCGGAAAAGAAGAAAAGATGCGGAATAGAGACTGACTTGTACGTGGACTACAGACTCCTCAAACAGAAACCCGACGACACCGAAGCGCAGAGGATCGCCCGCCAGGAATACCAGAAGAAATCCCGCGACAACGCCCGCACCCCGGTGCAATGGTCCGCGGGCCCGAACGGCGGCTTCACCGGCCCCAACGTCAAGCCCTGGATGGCGGTCAACCCCGACTCCGAGCGCGTCAACGCCGAGGCGCAGGTCAAGGACCCGCAGTCGACGTACCACTACTGGGCCTCCGTGCTGCGGCTGCGGAAGAAGTACCTCGACATCTTTGTCTACGGGGACTACACGCTGGTCGACAGGGAGAGCCAGGGGGTCTTCGCGTACACCCGGCAGTACGAGGACCAGAAGGCGCTGGTGCTGGCCAACTGGACCGACCAGACGCTGGAGTGGGACCCGGTCGCCAATGGGGTGGGGGCCGTGAAGGAGGTGGTTTTGAACACATACGAGAGCGCCGAGTCGGCCGAGGGGAGAATCCGGAGTGGTGGGAAATGGTCGCTCCGTCCGTATGAGGCGGTGGTTGTGCTGGTGCAGGCGTGAAATGATTTTGATGACGGGCTGGAAACGAATGATTTCGACGTGCGCGAAGTAAACTACATGATTTTAACAAGACTTTTAATAAGATGACTGCACTTTCTGATCGGGATTGGGTCTTGGCTCATGCACTTAGATCCTGGAGTTTGCGTCTCAGCAGATATGGTTTCATGGGATACTCCCCTTACCTGGTAGGGAGATTGGGTAAAGGTGTGATAAGATGCCAGAGTACGCAATGGTTGGTGACTTAGGTAGCAAAGCCTGCGAAGTTAATAACTCAACCCCACATTCCCATGTTCTTTTACTCCGACACCAAACCAACCCAGAGCAAATGCATTTGCTAAGTCTACTTCATGCGATAAAACCGACACAGACAACATCTGCCAAATGGAGGTAAACTTTCCCATGAGCTCTCGCTCTCCTGGCAGCAACCACTCATCTCAGCATTCGTCTCCTCAACTCACTATCTATCCCATCCGTCGCGGGTTCCTCCTTTTCTTATGACATGCACACAGCCCACAACCCCCTCCACCCTCCCTCCAGAGATGAGGATACCCACCACCCCCCAAAAGATCCTCCCATGAACTTGCCACCCCACCCCACCCCACCCCACCACGATGTGCCTTTCATTGGATAGGAGATTATCCTTTTTCTGGAATTGAAGGCGGAGCGTTGGTTGTGAGGGGTTGGGGTGTGGGTGTTCGATTACTGCGGGAGGAAGAGTAACTCCGAGCTTATGACCGTGAAGGCCAACCTTCTTGTTGCGACGACTTATGATTTATTTCTCTTGCTGGGAAATTGTGGCCCGGTGGTGGTCGTTAGACCAGGCCAGCCCACACCGCAACCACAGGGACTATGTACAACCACCTCGCCGCCACGACGAAGCTGCCCCCGGCGCCGGACTTCTTCGCGTCCGCCATCAGCACACTCGGTTCGTACGCGGCGGGCTCGGTGCTGTTCCGCGTGCCGTCCCAGCAGTACTTCTCGAAGCAAGCGGCGCAGACGGACGGCACGTCCGTGCCGGTGCGGTCGAACGAGCGCGCCAGCACCGCGCAGCCGGCACACGTGGGCCAGTCGGCGTACGCGGGCCGGGAGCCGTTGCCCGCGGTGACGACGTTATAGCCGTTCGTGATCATGGCGTCGCGCTCGGCGATCTCGTACTGGAGCTGGAAGGTCGACTTGTTGGAGTAGGTGGTGTAGGGGTAGTTGGGGAGGTAGACGACGAGCGGCGCGCGGCCGGGGCCGGGGCCGGTGAGGTTGGAGCTGTTGCAGCCGAAGAAGGTGGGCCGGGTGTTGAGCCCGAGGTTGACGAAGGTGTTCTTGTCGGGGACGCTGGGGAAGCCCGTGCCGTTGCCGATGCCGCTCGCGTTGAGGCTGCGCTCGTACGTCGCCACCAGCGGGCTGCCGTTGGGCCAGCTGTTGGCCGTGCTGGCGGACGAGTCCACCGCGAAGATCACGTCCACCTGCCGGTCCGGCTGGATCAGCGGGTGCAGTGGTAGGTTCTGCTTGTCCTCGCCGCCGTCGACGACGTTGAGGTCTGGGGTCTGCTCGTACGCGGCCGACGCGTGGCGGTACCCGTAGAACGGGTTGGGCGAGTAGATCGCGATGTCGTCGTTGCGCTCGCCTAGGTCGGCGAGGAGGTCCGCGGCGATGTTCTTGAGCGTGCTGGGCAGATCTGTCGTGTTGAGCTTCAGGATGAACTGGTTGAACAGGCTCGACGACGTCCCCATGACGAACCCGGCGTTGTCGTAGCCGCGCACGCAGCTGGTGTTGGAGGGCACCTCCCCGTCTTCAAAGTATGTTCCCAGGTATTCGAGGGGCGCGAAGCCGAAGATTGACGGATCGAAGCTGCCGAATTCCCAGGGGTTGAACTCGTACACGGTGGAGTTGCTGCCGATCAGAGTCTCGCCTGGGTTGCGTCCGTCTGCGACCAGGAGCGGCAGGGGCATCTTGCCGTCCTTGAAATCTTGGGTCAATGCGATGGAGGACCAGGTGTAGCTCGGTCCGCCGTTGGTGGCGTTGATGAGTTGGTACGAGAGCGCGCGGCCCCAGTAGTCGGTGAAGGAGATGTTGAACCCGGCTGAGCGTTTTCCGGCCACCACCTTGACCAGTTCCTCGTAGTACTTCGCCGTGTCCCAGATCTGCAGGCCCTTGGTCTTGGGCCCCTTGATGATCGAGTTTTGAAACTGCCACACTTCGCCTTCCTTGTAGGTTTGTAGGTTGGAGATGGTGGTGAAGTTGTTGATGTAGATCGAGCCCAGCAGCCAGCCGCCTCCGGACAAGCCCGATAGGTACGTTGCAGACTGCAGGAGACCCCCCAGTTGGCCGCTCCGGGTCGATCCCTCCGTGCGGCTGTCGAAGGCTTTAATGGCACCTGCGCCGTTCGTCAAGGCTCGGTAGCCGCCACCGGACACGGCGATACCGATGTTGGGCAGGTTGGACACATTGGAAGCATGGTTGGTGATGTACGACACAGCATCGAAGTCGCTCATGTTGATGTGTCCGAAGAAGTCCTTCATGGCAGAGATGGTCTGCTGACGGCGCACATCCAGCCATGCTGTTTCATTCTTCGACAGCGCGGATGCGCTTCGAATCGTCGGCCTGCTGGAGGGGCAGGTCACGTTGCTGGGAGTATAATCATCGGGGGCGTTGGGGAGGGCACGTCGTGAGAGGTCTTCAAATGTCACATCCCCTGAGGTAGGTACAGCCACGCTGCCTGCTAAGTCCAAAGTCAGTATTGTAGGATGAGTACGGCTTGACAAGGTCTGAGAGTCATACTAGGGATAGACCCGAGAGCAAGCAGCGTCGAAAGCGAGATCCCCGTGAGCTTCATGGCGTAGTAGTGACCGCCAAAACTGAGCAATTCAGATCCATCCACCACAAGGCGAACGCCTTAGCCGTTGGGGTCGACCGTCTTTTATGAGCTCAGGTCCATGAAGGGCGAATCGGGAGTTTCTCTCAATTGTGCGTGGCTCAAAAATAGGACCGAAGAAACAGCAGAGTTCAGAGCTCAGCCACGGCGGGTGCTTACTTTTGCTGCCTGGAATGGAGGCGCCTCTCCCCCTGGTGATTGCACTACCCATGTCATACGGACAGTCTCGGAGTTTGAAGAAGTATGGTAAGAGAAACAATTAGAACCCTACAATCTCCACCAGACCCTGACCCAGAGCTGCCGATTGGACAGTCAGTCCAGGCAACAGAAATAAAGGTGCTTGAAAAAGGCGCGGGGTGGGGATCTCGGGGCCCGAGGAGATCCAAAAGTCAGCTCTGACTTGATGACTTCATTTATTTGGTGTGCTCGAACCGGGTTGGCCATGTTCATGGGACCAAATGAGGTGGTCGAAAATATGAAATGCATGAAGACGTGGCTGTATGTCTATCCCCAATCCATAAAACATGGTTAATTCGTGTGTTACAAGTGATCTCCCTGAAGAAGGATCCTGGCCCGGGAGGCTCAGCCCTACAGGGCGCCGCCCCCTCGGCTGCTCGGCTCCCGTGGACATCCCCAGTCAGCATGTCCATCACGCTCGTCGACTAAGAATGTATGTCTTCGTTCTTTAGTACTGAATTCTTGTCTCCGAATTGACTGCATCTCGCGTCTAGAATTAAATAATGCAATGGATCACAATTGCGGTAGGTTGCAAGACAGCCAAATTCAGACTGACAGCAATTGAGCCACGTAGTATGAGATTGACTCCTAACAGCCAACCAACCCGCCAATGTACACACACCGTACATGGCATCGCATCTCTGAAGAGAATATTAATGTTTTCTTCCGGAAGGGCTCAATCACACTCGTATCATGCGGAAGAACACTGCTGAGCTTCTAGTCGATAGCTTCCATGACATGACAACTGTGTTGATCCTCGGTGAAATGCTGCAAATAGTGTCGCCCTCTCCCGAAGCATGTAAGCTTCAGCAAGAAATCAATTCTTGGTGCCCACAGAGCATCCTCAATGGATGGTGAATATTAGTGAATGGACTCATGGAGATACTCCAGGCCTCGAGCCGCTAAGACAAAACGAGCTAGTAGGATAACCGACCTGGGATGGACGGACTCGACTGTGATCAGTAAGCGGTGTCCCAGGCGGCCCATGATTCTGCCGCACGGGCGCCTTGATGCCGCGGACGGCATCTCTCCAAGCGCATCCCAACCTCTTCCCTCGTCCACTCCTCAATGACTGTCCATCATGTCGCATTTCAATCCCGAGGATAACCGGTTTCCTTCGGGACCTCCGCACCGACCTGTTCCTCGCCGCGATGACCGGGACGGCCGAATGTACGACGATCGCTCGCCTTCCCGATCGCGCTCGCCTGGCGGTATTACGCCCTCCTCCCCGCAAACCAGTAGCACAGGGCAAAGGCTATGCTTTGATGAACCGTCCACATATCTTTTTCTTTGCTTTGGAACATGGTAGTAACTGACTCTGCTTCGCCATGAGAAAGATTTGCCCCACTCTCCTCCGCGGGGACCAGCTTCAGAGCGAAGAGGAGACCATACCAGAGATCGACCCAACTCTAGACCTCGTTACCGCAGCCGGGACCGCGATGACTATCGCCGCCGCTCCTCGCGTTCCCCTCCACCGCGGCGCGGCAGACCAGCGTACAGGGACCGCGATCGCGAGGGCTACCGCTCCCCCGGATACGGTAGCCGGAGCCGAAGCTACAGTCGCAGCCGCAGTCGCAGCCCCCGCCGAGGCCGGCATTCGCATTACGGGCAAGAGAGTCGGGAGGTGATGATGGATGGGTTACCGGTGGATATGGTGGAAGAAGACGTGCGATAACTCCTTCCCCTTTTTATGTTTCTGTGTCCGGCGCCCTAAAGCGGCGCCCTCCGGAATACCACCGTTATTTGATGGCAAGAGGCTGAGATGTCTGGTCGAGGTGTTGAACAGATCACGAATGAGTTGAAAGAATTCTACAATGTGGATGGTCTGGATGACGTCCGTGTCATTCGTGATCGACAGACAAGTAGGTGATGCTTGGTCTGTTTTGCCCCCGTCAAGCTAATCGTGGCTTCAGAGGCTTCACGTCAGTTGGGCTTTTTGAGATTCCGAGATCTCAACCAGTCGCGGGCGTTCGTCGAACGCAATTTTCCCAACATCTACCTCCATGGGCCCAATCCACATAACGACCGCGGCACTAAGGTGCGCATCGCCTACAGTCGCGAGAGAGAGGACCGTGCCCGGGCCCGCGCGGAGGCTGACTGGACCTGCATGATGGTAAGGCCGGAATTCAGCCACTAAGCCTGATTCACGCGCTAACTTCTCTAGTGTGCTATTGTCAATTATTCTACTCGTCAAAAGTGCTTTCGTTGTCAAGCACCTCGACCTGGTATGTTGCTCATGAGGACGTCAACTCGCAGTAAGCTTATTCGGACCAGATGGCGGCCCCGCCGGTCCTCCTGGACTGCCGGCCCCGAGAGTCGAGAACCACGGCGATAATGATGCGGCGCCCGAGAACCAACCGTCGCAGTTCCTTCTTTTCCGCGGACTGGAATCGTCGGTCACCGAAGAACTGCTGGCCAAGGGTGTGGCCAAGTTGTACCGTCCTTTGTCTTCCAGCAACGATGCCACAGGAGGTGCGAAGAAGGGAGCTAAAGTGGCTTCGACCACGGGAGACTCGAACCTCGGGGCTCGAGATGGCTCCATTCGCCGTGTTCTGCTTGTGAGAGGGCGCAAAACCAACGAGAGCTGGCGCTACGGGTTTGCGGAATTCGCGACTATTCAGGTATGTCGCCCTTAGCAGCTCCAAGGCCTAGTTAACATAGTCCTAGGATGCACAAGCTGCCATCACCCGACTCAATTCATTTGACAAGTTTACCATCTCCTCGCGGCCGGTTTTGGTCAGCTACATCCATGCTGGTGTTTTTGTCCCGGTCCTTAATCCCACCCCCAGCAATGAACGATTCACGTTCAGTCCGCTGAACAACCCAGCCTTGAAACTCATGTACTGGGACGAAGAGGCCTATGTGAAAGAGCTTACGGTGTCCACAGCGGAACTTGACAGCGGCAAGGGAGACAGGGCGGCTGGTCAGGAGGGACCCACCAAGGGCAGCAAGGACGCCGACAAGGCCAAGAAGCGAAAGGCCGACGCAGCCGCGAGTGCCGCGGCCAAGAAGATGGCAGTGCCGTCGCATCTGCAGTTCTGGAGCAACCGCCACGCGGAGCTGCACGGGATCCAGAAGAAGGATGGCGAGGACAAACCCGGCGGTGGGGAGCTGCAACAGCAGCCGACGTCGGAGACTGCAGCATCCCCGCTGGACCCCGCCGCGCCCCCGAGTCAATCCTATGCCAACCCCACCCAGAACTGCTGCTACCTGTGCATGCGGAAATTCAAGTCCACCGCCCAGGTCAACCTGCACGAACGCCTCAGTCAGATGCACCGCGAGAATCTGCTGGATGAGGAGCGCATCGCGCATGCCACGCGCAAGCTCGTCAAGCACGGCATCATCCCGCAACCGACGGAGTATCGCGACCGCGCCCGCGAACGGCGACAGGCGTTCGGCCGGTCCAAGGCTGGTGGAGGGGCCAAGCCGCGGCCCGCAGCCCCTGCGGCCAAGGAAGAGGAGCCGGCAGTGCCAGCAGCGTCCAAGGGTGCCTCGCTGCTCAGCAAGATGGGCTGGTCCGCGGGGTCTGGACTGGGGGCGCAGGGCACGGGGATGACGGCGCCGATTGCGACCGAGGTGTATGCGCAGGGGGTAGGCTTGGGGGCGCAAGGGAGCAAGCTGGGCGATGCGACGGAGGAGGCGGGGCGCAACACGCGGGGTCGGTACGATGAGTTTCTGGAAAAGACGCGACAGACGGCGCGGGAGCGATACGAACAGATGGAGCAGTAGATGGGTAGTTATAGGAACGTTGGTGGTTGTCATTATTGATCATAGCATTTTGTGTGTCTTTTGAGCTTGAGCTTAAGCCCGTAAGGATGCGTAAATACAAGAGTAGGGTATGTATGTGTATGTTGTCATGCAAAAGTAGAGACGATGTCCTGTCCAATCCCGAAGCACCTGTGACCATTAAAAAAAGAACTCCATCCTTCAACCCACCCCCATGTATCCTATCCATGCTCCCCCCAGAAAAGAAACCCTCACTCCTCCTTCTTCCCCTCCCCATCCACCAAACCCCTAGCATCCTCCATCTCCCTCTCCCGCTGCGCCCTCAACTCCCGCCCAAACTTCTCCCCCAGCACCTTGGCCGCCCACGCCTCCACCTCCCTCTCCATCTCCTGATCCCCCTCCACCAACCCCTTCGCGGCATCGGCTTCGGAGAGCGAAACCCGCCGCACATACCGCCGCATATCGTCGACACTATTGATATCCATCGCGTACAGCACGCCCCCGGTACTCATCATCGCGAACGCCAGCACATTCAGCGTGGCCAGGTTGAGCGCCTCGAACGCCTCGACGCCCCCGCTGACCGTGGGCTTGTGGTAGGGCGCACTGGTGTAGAAGGGCGGGATGGCGGCGAGGCGGCGGCGGCTGATCGCGCGGCGGGTGGTGAGCAGGCTCAGGGCGAGGAAGGCGGTGCCGCCGAGGAGGAGTTTGAGGTTCGTTTGCGGCGTCCAGAGTTTGGGGAGCGGAGGGTCGAATTCTTCTATTGCTGGGCGGGATGAGGAGGGGGTTGTGTTGGTGTTTGTGGGGGTTTGGTCGGAGGGGGTGTCGGTGTCGGATGCGGTGGAGGGTTTTTGTTGGTCGGGGATGAAGGAGCGGAGGAGGCCCATTTTGAGAGGGTTGTATTGTTGGTTGTGGTGGCGGTGGTGCTGGTGGTGGACGTGGGTGAGGTGGGGTTCAATTGATGCTTATTGTTCGCGCATGAGGATTGAATGGTTTGTTTGTGAGGGTGTTGTTAATGAGGGTGAGAGGATTGTTTGTTGAGGGTTGAGGAGAAAGAGGAGAAAGAGGAGTTGCGATGGTGGCTTAGTCAGAGCAGAGCAGAGCGTTTTATCTCCACTAACTCCGTGTATGTGTCATGTCGACACTTCTCTGCGCTTCGGTCTTGTTCCCTCTGCGTGATTTCTTCGTGCGGCTTTTGCATGGATCGTGTTCTACTCATGATGGCTCGCTATATTTTATGAGAGTGTTTGCGTGTCTCATGAACATCCGCTCTCGCTGCCTCCAGATCGGAGCACTAAGTTGGCACGTGGATAACATGATAGCTTGTCTGTTGTAGACCCACCTCTCTGACCTTTATCGAGTACGCGTCTTGAAGACGGCTGTGACTTTGGGTGGAAGGGTCCGGATCTACTAGATCCTACTCACGACAAAAAGGTACGGTACAGGCGTTGTTTTCTACGACGATAGCTCACTTTTGGCTCGGTTGTGCTGGACCAAGTGGCTCCTCTTTCTCCAAGAGCCTAAGTATCAGATTTCTATTGTCTCCTTTATGTGCATATCTGTACAATGTATACTCGAGTTCTGCAATCATGTCTGTTCTACTGCAGAACTTATAGTAAGGAGGTTCGAGTCGCATGCGGTTGTTCTATTAGAGCCGCGTGGAAATCTAGCAGGCCGGTCATGTGTTTTAGCTTGCTCTGGGCAACTGCTTCTGGTGGAGCGTCTGATCAGTAGCTGCACAAGTTTTGTAATGAGCCGCTAAATTGTTGTTGAGTGATTTATGTCTTGAGATCTCGCATTGACATGGGTAGAGCCGTGGATAAGAACTGGTAAGTATCCTGTAGGTCAAGACTGTTGCGACTTCGCCAGGGATGCGCACAGCAACATGACACAGGTTTTGCCGTATCGGGTGCTTTTGTATAGTATGCCTCCGTTTTCAGCTGAGGTCTCTCGCTTCATCAGAGGTGTATAAGAGTTATGGGCACACTAAAAGTCGAGGGAGATGCAAGACCTCCTATGGCGTTCAAACCGTTCGCCCGGCCAATTTCCAATGGAAGAGATCCAGTGGAAGGCAGAGAGACACAGACAAATTGTTGAGCTGGCCAAAAACATAGCCCGGGACAAGCTCTATCATTGAACGCCCTCCACGGAGCCAAATGTATAAATCCGCAGCACCCGCTGCTTCTGTTCCAAGATCCAAGCATGTAGCTCATCCGTCAAAGGTAGCATGGTCATATTGAACAGATTCGTGGACGCCAGCCATCCTCCCAAAAGTGGCGATGTCTGACGGTGGCCCGCGGTGACCCGGCGTGCATCCGCCTCGGGATAGTCGATCTTCTCCATGCCCATCTGGGCCGGCTTCGACTGGCTTCCAAGGAAGTATGGGATGGTGGCGCAGATGCCGGTAGCAAGGTCTTGGATGGTGTCCAGGGCGCTCTGAATGTCGTCTGTGCGGATGGGCGGCGGAAGGAGGCGCAGACAATCGAGGATGATGTTCTGGATGACAATGCGCGAGTCGCGGTAGAAATTCCAGGTGCTGGCGATCCAGATGTCCGCGTAGCAGTCACAACGGTTCTTGTACATGCCTGCCTTGCGGATGGAATCCGATATCATGGTGGCGGAGACGGGGTGCCAGTGCGAGGGGAGGGCGTGTGTCCAAGCTACAAGTTTGGTGTCCAGATGCCTCGCCCGAGCGAGGATCTCCTCGAGCTCGGTGACATTGGCGGCTGGATGGTCCAAGACAAGCTTGTCCCATGCTTGTCGCAGGCTGACCAGGTCAGATGTGGCCATCAACAGTTGAGTTGAGGCAGACTCGGGCGCAACTGGCGCGGGCGGCCAGACCTTGGGGGTCTGCATGACAGGATACGCGAGCCCTTTGGTTGTTTTGATCTGAATCATTAGTCGAACAAGTCCAATGAGTTGCACGCCACTAGAGCTTACAAGTTGTGCATGTACTGCATTTTCCAACGTTATCGAGAGGTCCGTCTCCCGCTGATCTTGACTCCGACTATTTATCAACGCAATTGCGCCCCGTAAATGTGTCTTGCCTGGGGCCCTGCGCTCCTTCATAGCTGAGAATTCCTGGCCATATCATTAGATCCGAGCATTCAATGAATAAACGGGCTAGTCACCTCATAAATTAAGAGCAAGAGCACCGTCATCAGAATCTCATCCTGGTTCCGGTCGATGTCGCCTTGAATCGCTTCTCTAGTTTTAGATATCGCTTGCACGCACAGGTGTTCGGCGGTTCGGAGATATGACCTATTGCCCGTCCACGCAGACACCGAGAAGAAAGACACCGCCAACGTGATGAGTTTCAAGTGCGACCCAGGCTGGGCGTTTGCGTAAGCATGGGGCACCATTTCCATGAACCCTTCCCGAATCAGTGGATCTTTGGGTGAATAGAGATAGGAGCTAAAGAACAATGATGCCACCGTGTCTTCAAGAGGCAGGTTTACGCTTTTCGGGATATTGCAGGTTTTGTCGAATACAATGTCCATCCAATCGGCCCTTGTCACGTTGGTGGACACGGCGGTTTCAGGCGCTGCCGCAATCACTGAGGTGGTTAGAGAAGCCAGTTTGGCCGGACTCGCTGGGACTGCATTTGAAACACGAGCGTCTCGCTTCTTGCGTTTGAAGGCGACCTGATCCCGGAGCATAACATCAAAAGGATCTAGATACCCTGGACATGACCGATTCGTCCGCACACAAGCTCTACAGTGTGGGCGAGTTTCATCGCACTGAGTGGCGATTAACAGTAGTCGTTTACAGAATCCGAGACACTAACCTTGATACGCCTTGTCCGGCAGTTCTGACACCCGGTGCTTGGCTTACCACGATAGACCATGGTGGAGGCCCCTGAGTCTGGATAGCCCACAAATTTGGGATCGGACTAGTTATCCGTGTACTCCGTACTTCATCGACACTTTAAGTGCATTGTTCAATACCAAGCGGTCGAGACACATGGATTTTCTGCCACGCGGATCTCTGTTTCATCTGGACATCACAAGCATTCTCAAGTGCAGCATGTATCCGGGTGGTTCGGATGGTCAGATCAGGTACGGAGTTCAGTGCCGTACATAAGGTCGAGATCCATGATGAGCGGAAGCCTGCACTATAACAGACATGGTTAGTCCTATCCGCTCACGTGATAAGTCCACCAGCCGAGCTGTCGCTCCTTGCTAAGAAAATCCACAGAACTATACCCAGGAATTGATAAACGCCATGAAGATTTTCCACGTAGGAAGTTCAAAATGATCATGCAACAAGATTTAACTTAGCAAACAAGTGGAGTTCGGTCACAAAGAAAAGCAATATCATGTTTCATAGATACATCAGTACATTAATATGTCTCATTATCATTGGTAGCCCATCATACAGGGCTGAAACTTGGGCTCGTAACACCGTAACACATGCAGGGATATCCGTAAGTTTCATCAATCGTTCATAATACATGAATCATTGGCATAAAAAGAGGGGCTGGGATTGAGCGTAGGAGTTCGAGTGCATGTCCAACCAGGTTTTTGTCTACTCCTCAACTGTCGTGCGAGTACGTAGACTACCTCGTATATTCCGTGTTGATCAGCATATCGGTCCGACCGGGACGGTCAAGGCGATCGATTCCTAGATGCTCTTTGCCATCGCGGCCAACATATATCCCGAAGCCATACACAGAATGCTCGCGGTCCCCGGGTGGTGCGACAACCAGTCGCGTGACCAGGTCTGCTTTGCTCCTCGGCTCACGCAAGATCTTGTCGGCGAGGAGTGGGCTCTGGTAGAGGAAGCTGATCAGATCGGCCAGCGTGCTAATATCGTGAGGGAGGTGGCGTTGACGGCGAGGCCAGATACACAAGAAGGACACAGTATAGAGAGCACAGAAGACCACCATCGCGTAGAAAGCAGGCATTGATGCTGCAATCTTGATTGCGTGTTCGGACGGGTAATTCAACGCAATGAAAACGCCTCCGGCGAGAATGGGAATGGCGGCAGACGCAATACTCATGAACGAGATCCAAGCCACTTTGTAGTGCTTGTTGGCGACAGCCAGGATAGTCACCTGGAACGGAAGATGCGACGGATACGCCAGTAACAGGCTCTCCTCTGCACGTGCACCGTTGGGTGACGACAAAGAGGCGAAGGGTTGCGACGCACGAAAGAAGACGTCGATGGGCTGCCATGCGAGAAAAAAGACGTTGCCGATAAGAGCCGGCACAAAGCTGTAGCAGAAGTTGGAAGACGAAAAGCCGCCGGTGGAAGGCAATGTGGGCAACCGTGGGGGGAAGCCTCCTCGGATGGCGTCATGAATGAAGCTAACCAGTACGAAAGCGACGAACAAAGCACATATGATTACCGTCCAAGCTATCACATATGTATCCTTGAGAAACCATGGAATCCAGCGGTAGCGAACAGAAGGAGTGTATAGATTCTCGTGGTATTCGCCCTTTTCGGCCATACCCTGGCGCTCAAGATCAACTGAGACCTTGGACAGCCCGTGCGACTGCATCTGAAGATTCTTTTCCAGGTGGTGAAGGGATGGTGTTCGGATCGGGGCATCAGCCTCGCCAATACCATAGAAGAACTCGCCGCGATTTGATAATTGCCAATAACCCAGTCGAAGGAGCCGGGGCTCGAGAGAATTCCCAACCTGCGGCAATGTTTCGGACTGTTCGAAGTCATGCAGAATGTTTGACCGTTGAATCACCGAAATGAGATCCGCCAGGCTGACAGGATCCCACATTAAGCCTGACCATGTACGAAAAAAGCGAAGCATGAGCAAAATCAGCCCAATAGTCGTCAGTCCGTAAACTGCCACCAGCGTCCAGCCCACAGCCAGAACGGAGGCCCATCGCCACGTGCCTTGGCCGTTAATTTCATACCACTTGGCCTGGAACAAACAACTCAGGAGCGGCAATGCGATGAAACTTGAGAGCCACATTGAGAGCAAAGAGAATCCAACTAGCGCCTCTCCATGCCGAAAATGTGAGAAATCAGGTAGAATGAAGTTGCGTGACGTGACTGGCAGCCTCTGCAGAATGCGGTCGTACGGCCGCTCCGATGCCATGATAGCAAAAGGCATGGTGCGGTAAACGGCAGCCTGAACCACGAAAGTCCAGATGGTGATAAACATGCCTAGAATCTGCGGTAGAAATTGCATCACGAAGTAATGGGCACCACCCTGTCTCTCATAGTCCCAAAGTCCTTGATGCCTTGGGGACCAGACATTGCAGAAAATAATTCCGGCAATCATGAGCAAGCAGCAGATTGTGAGGGCGGCCAGTGCCCATGTGCGCAATACAGGAGGCACATAGTCCAATGCAGGGTAGAGTAGGCTTTCCTCTGGGGGATCCACTGGAATGAAAGATTCTGGGTCAACCGACTTCTGGGGCGACCTTCTTGCGGAGATAGGAGATTTCGGCCGGTGTCTGACGTCCGGAGGTGAGGAAGGTCCATGTGAGCGGATGAAGCAACCTAAGCCATCATCCCAGAGCAGCGGCTCAGCGGGAGAGTCACGGCTCACGATCGAACTTCTCCTCCTAGGGCCCGCCACTTCCTCATCACGCGTCAGCTGGCTAATGGCGAAATGAATATAAGGCGAGTCGTCCATCCCAGGAGTTGGTGGGCGTCCCGCGTAGCTGTCGGCGGGAGCCCGGCTGGATGTGGTATGGGACATGGGGTTCAGGTGAACTTCTCTATCCTCGACGGAGCGGATTGTTTGGGACGCGGGTGTCAGGAAGATTCTGTTGTCGCTCGAGGAGTCTATAGAGGGTTGCGATCGCGCACCAGCCACCGGCGGGGCGAGATGCGTTCTTGATATGCTAGGGGAAGGAGGACGGGATGCAGGTCGAGAGTTGGGGGTTGCATAGCGCACGACATTGACTCGACTGCCACTCGTCCGAGACCTTGCGCTGGAGCTCTGGCTCGAGAAAGAGTAATAGTCATCTGAAGCGGCAACGGATTGTTGATCCTCGGTGTGTATCATCTGCGGTCTACTTGCTGCATGGAGTCAGGCCATCGGTTCAAACCACAATCGACCAAGGTTGGTTGGGATCTCTAGCCGGCTGTCGAACAAATCCAACATTCCACTTACAACTGACAGTCCGCAGACTCACATTGCCCGATCCCGGAGCTAACATGACGGTCGGGGTCAACCGAGGAATGTATGTGTTTCAATCGCTCACTTGCAACGCGGTATGAGATATCTCATGGACATTCCCAGCGCGTAGGACCCGAGCCGGTCGAGGGAGAGATAAGAGAGACAAGATGGTCGGGGCAGGAAGCAAGGGAGAAAAGAGCTCTGAATTGGGCTGCTATTGACTATTCGAGGTGGTTGGCGATGTGGGCGCCTGTCTTTCCCAGCCTCCGCAGCCCAGCCTCCGCAGGTCCAACGAAGACAGGACCAATAGAGGACGCCGGCATGGCAGTAGTGCTGCTATATCTAGGGTCGACATGGCCGCCAGCTATTGGAGAAACGTACTTAGTTTGGACGGGAAAGGCTTGATCGGATAAATGCCGTGGTGTGTCTGTCTGTTTGGTGTTTGGTGTTGGGTGATTGCGGTGGCACACAGAAAGAGAGATGAATCTCAATGGACTCTCTCGATGAGTCGATGGACAGCCCAACCTCCAGACAGTGCCAAGATTACGGCCCGAACCATCCAAGGCCACCCACCCACTCCTGTCAAGATCGATTCAACTTGGACACTCCGCACTGTCAAGACTACGGTGAAGTTGTGGGTGGGTGGAGGATCTCACTACAAGACTCTGAGTCGAACAATCGTGTTCTATTCGCATTTTGTTTCATCTGAATCGTATCTTGGTCAAAACGACTAGTTCCATGCAGGCGAGTTGCACATTACACCAAGCTTGTTTGTCACGCCGCCCCGCGGGAGTGGATATGTCGTTCTTCGAGAATCTCAACAAGCAGGCTATGGTTTTGCAAGTGTTCAACGACATTCAGGCTCGGTATGGCACGGCGTATAGCACAAGTTCGGCTTCTCGTGGAGAAACTGCCTGTCGCAAAATCGGTGGGCTATCGTCATCGATCCCACTTCCGCGTCATCATGTACTGTACGGTCCAGATAAGTCGTCACCTTCATGCCTTCCTCTTTTCGACCACTGCTGGTATCCATTTGAGTCCCTGTTCAATCCTGTCTTGCGGCTCGGGTACGTTGCCTTGAGACGGCATATCCTCTTGTGGTTCCTAGGGGATGAGTGGTATGTAGACGGGTGCGTGCTGTACCTGATTTCAAGGGTCTTCTAAAAATAGACTCGCGCTCAAGGGCACGCAACTGGTTCATCGTCCTGGGAGGTCCATCCTAATTTCACAAAGCATGGAGGTTCGTGGGATCTTGAGATGTCAAACCGGGACAGTAAGTGCGTGGGACTCGGCCCCATTATCGCTATCTCTGGTTTATCAAATCAGAAGAGATCCCGGCGTGGGCACCAGAGAGAGGGGGGGGGGGGGCGGAAGGAGCATTCCAAACTGACTGCGGCACCGTGGACGTGGAGAGATGTGGATATGCATTGGCGCAATTAGCGATTAGCGGGGGGGAGGGGGCAGATACGTAGAGTGGAAAAGGCAGCAACGTTAGCCACTTCCAGATACAGATCAACGGGCAGGACCACTGGTTCGTCCGCAAATTTTCAAGGAAAAAGCGATTCAAGTAATCATCCCACGAGTGCAGTGGCAATGACAGTGACAGTGACAGTGACAGTGACAGTGACAGGAAAATGTAGGTAAAGAATGATTACTCGCGTTGTGCAAGTTGGAGAGTGGCGGCGATGACTAAGGAATCCTGCCTCATTGCTCCAATCAGAACCTCATACACCTTGCAATTCCGCCCGGCCGTCCCTGCACTGCGGCGGCGGGCAGTGTTGAATTCCACCAGTTTCACTCACTCAATCCAGTCCAGTCAGTCTAGTCGAGTCCAGTCGGGTCTTTCTACCGGTACTGTCAAGTTAACTTGGAGTCTTGGACTGAGGCAGCATCCGTCCGTCAATCATCCTTCCTCTCTCCCTCCCTCCTCCCATCTCCCCTTCATTTCACCCTCTCTCTCTCTCTCTCTCTCTGTCCTCCAACTCCTTCCTACCCTTACCCTCTAACTCCAGTCATTCTTTCAATTCCCCCCTCTACAATATTCGCCCCTTCACCGGTCTTCTTCTTCTTCCTCCTCCTCCTCCTCCTCCTCTTCATCCTTCCACGCCCCCTCATATTCCCTCTCCGCATTATCTCCCATTAAATTCTTCTTTTACTCTTCTTCTTTTTACCTTTTTCTTTTCTAGATTCAGTTAGTCAGTTACTTACCTAGTTAGATCATACCTTATCTACTCCGAGTAGGGCGGATTGGTTCACCTTCCTCCAATCTCCGAATCCACCCTTCTTTGTCACCACTTCTGTCGCGGATTCCTCAGGCTTCCCGCCTCCCCTACTCTCTCCATGTCTCAGGAGGTGGGCAATCATTAAGTCCTTGCAGAGTTGCACTGGATATTACAAAACATCTTCTGAGCTTCCCTGGTGGTCACCTTGAATTCTAACTCAGCGTGCTCTAATCAATTGTGGTCAATCCCTGCCATTCGGTTTGCATCACGCCAGCCACTTCTGGTTCTCCGCTCGCCTCTCGATCGCGGCGACTGTGTCGCTCCGCTCTCGAGTCGCCATGCTTCTCAAACCCGCTACACCGCTTACTATCCTCCTACTGATCGCATTTGTTCTTCTCCTCATCTCCGTCATCTCGACTCCGATTGTCAAAAGCATACCATTAGCGACTTTCGAGAATGTCGATTATGGTGTCTTCGGTTACTGCAAAGGTGACCAGTGTACCAGCATTCATGTTGGCTATGCCGATGGTTCGTTGCCTTCTCTCTTCTGCCCGGCGCATTCTTGCCCTTCCTCTCAGAGGCTCTCCAGATGGGGTTACTGATGGAAACTCACTACTGGTGTGACAGATAACATTATTACGACCAACACCAGCAGCAGCGAATTCAATATCCCGCCCAGTACTCGGAAGTCGCTTTCAGCCATCTTGATAGTCCATCCCATCGCAGCCTTTCTTACTCTCATTTGCCTGTGCCTGGCGGCAGCAGCGCACTTTCATGCCCCGTCGCATTCGCCACGATATCTCCTAGCACTGCTAATTCTACTTCTCCCCACACTACTCGTGTCGCTCTTGGCTTTCCTCGTCGACATCTTGCTGTTCGTTCCGCATCTCAAATGGGGAGGATGGATTGTGCTCGTGGCCACCATTCTGCTTGTGACTTGCGGTGTGGTCACATGTGCCATGCGCCGGACACTTGTCAGCCGCAAGGCGAGGAAGAGGCGCATCGCAGAAAATGCTGAAATGAGTGGGGAGAATTTTTACAATCGTCAGAACGCCGCGGCAGCAGCAGGAGGCTTGGGCCAGCCGGAGAGCTTCAATGCCGATGTCAAGGAGCCGGTTGTTACTGGTTCGCCTCCTACCTCTGATGTCGGACCCACATTCACTACATTCCGTACAACAACCCATGACAGCGACGATGACCGCACTCCTTTAAACGCTCGGAATCCCCCTAGTGATGCTGCACTGCCCACTGGTCTATATGCCAATACGCGCGGTGATGTAATGGCTTACAATGCCCCACCGGATCATATCGAAAGCGCTCCTCCTTCTGTTCAAGGACCCGGGCCGCGGATGCGCCCCGGACCCCCCGATGCTGGACTCCGCAATCAGTATTCTGAGGGCAGTATGGGTTCGCGACGAGGTCCCCCTCCTCCAGGATCTGTCCCGCGTGGACGTGGCGGATATGGCCCGCGAGGAGGATACGGCCGAGGGGGTTATTACGGGCCAGGACCACGAGGACCTCCACCGGGCGGGCCGATGAGAGGCGGACATCCAGGAGCGATGGGTCGAGTTTATCGAGGACCCCCTCAGCCTGGTGGTTATGGTCCCTCGCCAGGGCCTCGGCCAACACCCCCTCCTGAAACTGAATACGATTACCGCGGCCCAGCACCCTCTGCGGGTGTTCATCGACAGCCATCTCCGGGTCCGATTGGGATGGCCGTATCTGCGGATTATGAGGCGGCTGGACAAGCTATTGAGATGCAGCCGCAGCCAAAACGCCTAGGCTCTGCTGATCCTGTGTCGCATGGGGTGACTTCCGATTCCCAGCCGCATGCGGTGTCAGCCGACGGATATCCTGAGCCCATAAGCCCTACAAGCCTTTATAGCCGGACACCGTAAGTTATTCCTCTGCTCGGAGGCACAGATCGATCATGTGTGATTGTATGTTCTAACAACCAAACAGTTCGCATAATCACCCGCGTGCTGGCTGGGCGCAAGCCGATGGCTCCGCCCACCACGCACCCTCGCCGGCGCATGGCTACGGCTCCGCGCGGCAACACGCACGTTCGCCTTCAACCGACTATTTCGAAGATGTGGATCCTCGATTTGTGAACCCCAACGAGTCGGCAGCAGCTAACCCACCACGGTTACCTCCTGCCCTCACACCTGGTGCCATTGGTGAGCGGAAACCGACGGATGATTCGGCTGAGGCCCCTCACTCACCCACTACTAGTGAAGTAAGCCACTTCACTTCCATTTCCCAACGGCCTATCAACCCTCGCTGGCGCCCACCGCCTGTTCCGGCTCAACAGAAGCATGATGTGCTGCTGGAGAACAATCCGGATTTTGACCTTCAGGCGGGTGCCGGGCGAGGAGGGCTTGCCGGAGTAGGAAGTCGGATGCCGCCCCTGTCAATACCTCGAGACGCCTCAAGATACCCCCTTCCATGAACATAATCTTTAATTCCGCGTTACACCATTGCCTCACTCTTTGCGATTGTCCGAATACGGGTCTTCCGGGGACTTACGATGCCTGTCGCTGGACGGGATCTTTTCTGGGACTGATGAACCCTTGTGTCGTGTTCGCGCAGCATGGCATTTGCATATAAGCGCACTGCGTCTGTAGCTATGATCACTACGATTTGGCATCGAAAAAACAACAGATGTACATTCATCAACGGGCGCTTGATACCGTACGGACTGCTGTTAGTTTATGATTGTTATGTTAGTCTCATAGGCATGATTACTATGTTATGTTTCCATTATTCCGTTATGGTTTGCGACCCACCATACTTGATGAGGGTTGGAGGGATCATCTCACCCATAACTTTCATAACTTGATTCTTCGGGCACTACGTAAATAGCGGGGATGTCGATGGGGGTTGTCCCGTGTGATGCCTGTCTCAACTTAATCTTGTGCGTGACATCATGAATGGAGTCATCAACTGGCATTCCAGGCATCTTGGCTACCTTTCTGCCTGAGAGCCTTGGTGCAGATCGTCGTGCGGAAATGAATGCCAAGAATGGATATCAAACTGCCCAGAGTGGCTCAGCACCTGAAGAAGCCAAGCTGCACGGTCATTGGTGGTCGAGCTCATTGCAGATCAAACGACAGGTTTGCGCCAGACTCGCGTTTTATCACCCTATTGCATGAGAGATCCAGGAAAATTACGAAAAGAGAAAAACCAAGCAGAAACACAGGGTTTGGAGTACTTGAGAACGAGATTACTGTGAGTTCATCCCGCCACTGTCTCAACTGTCTCGTGACTTGTCCCGATAAAGAACTGCTGACAGGCCAAGTGTCTCGTTTTCGGCATCAAGATGATTGATGTCTGCATCTTTTCGAATGAGAGAAAGGAACGCTTCCGGACAACTCGTATCTGCCAAGATCCCGCTGGCTGTCCCGGTCAACCTTTGGCGAAACTCTCTTGAACTGGATCTTGGCTTATGGTGATCGACATATGTCTAGAGCCTCCCGGGGGCTTGGAGGCCATCGACGGAGCCAAGTTACAAGCCTGTGCCAAGGGTTTGCCAAGCGGCTTCCTCTGGCAGACGATGTGATATGTCCAA